TCACGAACTCTTCAAACACAGTCAGTAGCATAGTAGTGATCACAGCCGGAGTAGCGGCTGAAGCTGAAGCTGAAGCGTTTCCCGTTGCTTCTCGTCCGGACGTGGGAAGCTTCATCGACGCAGAAGCGTCTTGGTGAGAGAGCGATATCCGTCGGTTCCATTGATTAGTGATGAACACGATGATCAACCAAAGTGTGTGGGGGGGGGAGTACCTGTGAATACGAGGTCTCTACTCTCCTGCGAATCTGAGGATTCCACCGTGAAATGTCTTGAAGTCTCGATCGATGGAATTCCGAAAAAAATAACTTCCCATGACAACGCTCTTACCTAGATCACTATGGATCGTCACCGAATCCATCCCGTTTCCCCGGGCTCGGAGCTCCAGCTCGGTGGACAGCTCGATGTCCGTCTTCCTCCAAGAGCCTCGCCATAGCGCGTACAACATCAACGATAATCGCGGCGCTCTCAGATCGGGCCGGCAACAAATACCAATGAGAAGAGGTCACCCAAAACAAACATGTTGCGTGACCGTTAAGAGGTGTTTTCACCGCGGAAACAGCCATCCTATGATTAGTCAACTCTCCCTTATTTGTATTCAAAAAGCCACAGTCTCTGGTCAAATATATTTAAGTCGAGCGACAGTCGTAGCCGCCTCCGTCGTCGTTCATGGCGCGGCAGTCGAGTCGCACCGGACGACAGGGTTCAAGCTCTCACTTGAGCTCTCAATCAACATCGATGACCGCTCACTGATAAGGCTTCCGGAAGTCGTACGGATGGCCACAGAAGATGTTGGGGTGATCGAAGTTCAAGTGAATAGAATACAGCGGGGTGGAATAGAAGGAATGAAGTCAAACCGATCTCGTATTGGAAGGGACGACCGTCATGCGTCTCGCGATAGAATGGCGCTGTGGAATCTCGAGGCAAAGACGGATTCCCTCAGACGTGCACGTGGTCGTCGATGGATCGGGCAGTGGATGCGAACCCTGAGCCGAGCTCGAGCCACCCAAGGCTCGAGTAGTGCCGACAACACGCAACGATATGTCTTTGATGGATACGTCGTGGGGCATCGCGTAGAATCAACATCGAAAGCTTACGGCGAAAGAGACGTTGGCGGAAAATCAAGCCCAGCGAAGGATCGGGGACGCATCTCTAAGAAGGGAGAAGCCCAAGCGTTGCTCCGATTCTTCTTCGGCACTATCCATCCACAGGACGCGCTAGGTGAAGCTTATGTAAATAATGAACAAGACTAGAAACCGCTAAGATGGGAGAAGATATCGGTTCGAAGATAGAGTCATCAGATCGAGGTCAGGGGTCGGGAGTGCCGCCCTCAGCTCAAACAGGATCCCGAACTATGACCACGAATCCGCTGCATCTACCGACTTGATAGCTTGATAGGAGTTCGTCGGTAGAAATATGATATCGAACGAGTCATCTTTCCTGTAGGATAATTGCTCGGCGACTTTTGTGCTTATGTGTAACGAGAAGAAAACGGCCTCTCGAGAACCGTGGTCGAGCCCTGGCCTCCTCCGCCGACAGAAATCATGGAGATCGAGGCAAGACCAGGAATCTAGAAAACGTCATTGAGGACGGAGCGATACGGACATTCCAGCTTGAGAGAAGGAGGAGCGGGGCGTGTTCTCGCGGAGCTCGGACCCATTGCGTGCGATTCCAGTTTTGAAAATCGTGAGAACTTCAAAGAATACATTCCCAGCGAAAGCAATCACGACCATTATCTCATATTTGCCATCTTCGACTTCTGCGCACGTGTCTGGTCGTGTATGCGGCGGCGGAGAACTTGTACGCCGTGCGCGTTCAATTCATCAACACAGAGAGGAAAAAATGATTTTTGTTTTGACAGCTCTGAATGCCTCTTGGTGTTGAATCTTTTGAAAGCCGTATACCGTTGGCGATATTTCCTTGGGAGTCGCGTGCCCCACAGCGAGTAATTAGAACGCTGGGTGATTCGGTTCGATTCGCTCAAAATCAATTTGCACGCTTTTTAAAAAGTGCACGTTTTCAAGGGCCTCCAATCGGTTGGGTGGGTGGGTTGGCCGGAGGTGTCTGCTGTCTGATTCCTCTACGCCTATGTACCGTTTTACCAGGAACCCTGGCTGGAGCTCCGACTGCCTTGAATGACTTAGCCACTGACTGCCGCATCAGCGATATTCTCGGCCGTGGATTTGGGTCGATTTTTGAAGAACCGACCCGAGACCTTCCGGGAGGGATCTCTGTTATGTCATCTAATCATCTCCATCATCTCTGGTGTGTTAGTTGGATGCGCGGAGACCCTTTGCAAGTTCCCGCCTCCGGCATCGGAGTCTGTCGTAGTGGCCAGAGTGTGAGATCAATGTTCGGCTCACCGAAATCGCTCGATGACGTTCTGACTTGTTCGGGAAGTGTGCCTAGATGTGCGCCGCAATTAGATATTGCTGCGGGCGTTCGAAGCCTCTCCTGATTCGAAGCCAGACACATCATCTCTCCGTCTAACTCCTTGCCCGGCTGGCTGGCCGGCCGATCATTCGCTCGAAGCCTCCTCGCTACCCGCATTGGAAGCCGTGTGCCACCTCAGAAGAATTATTGTACTAACTTCGAGAACCTACTCCGATCTGACAAACTCCACCAGCAAGAGCTCCCTTCCGTGCACTGCATTGCTCGAACTCGATGACAGAATGCATTGGAATCACGGAACAGTTTCGTACGCAACCTGCTCCGAGCAGGAAACCTACCCTAATTAATTGAGAATTGAATCATGAAGCCGTATCCCGACATATCGCCTCCAGCTTTTCCAGAGGCGAAATTGGGAACAACAGTCCCTCCTCGAGATTATACTCAATTGAAAAACCATTCCCAATGAATGGCTACATATCGGCAGCCCGTGGAATCGGGCTGCGACTCAAGCTCGAAATTCCCGAATCTATGAGTCTTTGCTCCGGATGATTGTCGCCTCAGACTATTCATCAGAGGATCCGTCTCGGCATGTTCTGATTTCCTACTGCGCTGCGCGCTGCGCCTGAAGAGCCATCGCTGAAATTGACCTTCAATAGGTGAAGAAATGCGTTGTTTTTTTGAGTCACTGTAAATCCATTACACTGCCACGCGAGCCGGATTCTTGACGCCAGAGGCGCTGAAGTCATACACAGTCTACCAATAAGCGGGAGGTCGTTCTGAAAACCGCTTCAAATATCTTCGGTTTCAAGTTTTCTAATCGAGTTAGTCGCTGCCTCGTTCGCTACCCCCATACCTCCGTCTTGAGTCGATGGCCCGCCGAAGCGCCGAACTCGTTCATTTTACAAATCGCCTCCATTACCTCAAACCCCCCACGGAGTCAAACATCTCATCTATTGTGACAACACGCGCGCGCGCGCGGCTGCTTCGGTTCGATGGATCGCGCGCGTTCCCGATATTTCTACGGCCCTCTTCGAATTCACTCGCTACCGATACGCCGATGCGCTAATCCGCAGAATAATGATCCCGCCTATACGCTGGATGACCGGACTTACAGTTGGAGAGTGAGCCACGCGAGCGACTCACTCAGCGAGTGTCGGGTACCCGACCGGGCGGATCGCAAACTGTCATTGGCGGTGGAGCCGAGGCAGCAGACGTGGGGTCCACCTGCCCACTTGAGAGTCCCTCGTCAGTTGTCGCGAATCTCCGTTGTCAGAAAGCGTAACGAGCACGCGTCTGCGAAGGCAACGGATTTAAACCATTTCCACCTGCTGGATTCATTCCCATGCAGAAGGCACGGCGACCGTGTCCTTAAACGATCGTTGCGGGCGCGCGCGCCCAGCTGAACGTGGCGCCTCCAGCTCCGAGGACAGTACGTCTGGGTCCGAAAATCCGGATTCGAGGTTCGTCTGGGAATTTCTCCGAATCCGCTACCGAAGGGAAAATTCCCAACGATTGACTCAAAGCTCGGAACCTCAGCTCTGCTCCCGATCCTGTGTGTTCTCCCTCGACGATTTTTGACTTTGAGGACATACAGGCAATTTTTGTCACAATAGGTATTCAACATCGTTTATTTTCGAAACTTTTCTGCCTCCATTCCTCATTTCTTCTCGAGTATGTCTTGGATTTGCGGAATGTCGCGACTTCATAGCTTAACGCACTATTTACAAGCAGGAAGAGTCAGTGGGAACTGCTCCGAGAAACGAGAGAGTATTTGGTAACTGCTGTACGTTGAACGGGTCTCGATTCGGTTTTGTTCTTCTCCTTCTGGAATCACAGGGTTTCACCGGAAATCGGAAATTTCTTCAGGATTCGATAAATTGTATCCAGGGTGACTATTTACATTACAATCGGTCTATTCGAGGCGGACGAGTGCCGCTCCGGAGATGGCTCCCCTCAACACGGCGAAATCCGCGCCGAGACTGGAGGATACACGTATACGGGTGCGCAGTGGTAATGCGATTCTTGCTGGTAAGTGTGACCGTCACTATAGGTCGGGAACGAGGTCATATATGGGTAATCCTGTCCGGCTGGGAACTGGTCAGTCGGAGAACTCCAGGGTACCGATCCGGATTGAGGCACAAGCTCCTGTTTGAACGATGAAGTTGAGCTCACTTCACCGATTTGCGTGAACGCGGCATTTGGTGAGTTTGGCGCAGCGCTGTTGCTGTTGTTGTTGTCGTCGTTATTGTGGCTAATTATCGTTGTGGCGATACTGGAGTTCGAATTGTTGTTGTTCTGACGATCCTTGGTCACTGGATCTGATTCTGCCAGGAGTCTCTGAAGGGCCGCGATGTATTCGATGGCCTTGTGCAGAGTTTTCACTTTCGAAAGTCGCTTCGAGCGGTTCTCGATGGGCACGCACTTCCGCAATTTGGCGAAAACACCGTTCACGGCCTGAACGCGCCGACGCTCCCGCGCGTTCCTGCGTGCGACCAAGTGCGGAGGTTTTTCACGGTGTGGCACGTGTTTGTAGGTCGAGGATTTCTTCTTGTCATCCTTATCGCTGCCTCCATTCTCCAAGAGGGAAGACTGCGAATCGTCCGAAGAGGGTGATGGACAGAAACCACTGGAAAGAAAAAACATTCTGGATGAGTCTTCCATACGGTAGACCATACGGTGCAGTCTCGTCACGGTTTGAGCAACTTCTCTCCTCGGAAATTCGGAAAATCAGGCTCACCTCATGCTCTCGGTCTGGGCCCAGGAGAAATCCTCCTCGGAAGTTGGACTCATCACCAGAGACTGCTGCATGTTCATTCTCAGATAACGGGAAAGCTCTGCGACGCTAGAATATCATCCGTATCAGGGCACACGTTCACCTCTTGCTTCGATGTCGCCTTTTGGAGCGAACGCACAACCCTCGAAGTTTTTAAGCCGTGGCGCCTCCTCTCCCACTTCGGAGCCAGGGAGGAGCTTCGAAAGACCCGCCTCCGACGGACTGCCAACCACTTACGGCGATCCTCGGCGATTCAGAACGATTCCGAAACCTTCGGAAGACGGACAGAATCCTTTAATCCAGAGTTGCACCCGATGCATAGGAAATACTCCCCTCAGATATGATTTTCGGCTTCCGATCCCTTGAGCAAATCCTCGATGCTTGTTCGAATATCGAGGCTCCCAATCGGACATTTCGGGCCCGATTTCCCCTCGAGGCCGAGCGGCCAACTCCCGTGGAAATTCGATGATTCAGCGCACCTCACTCGACTCTCGAGGCTAAGGTCCTCGGAGGTCTCGAGATAAAGCATCCAACACAGAGCGGAAACGCCCGTCTGGTGTGCGCGGACAACCGCTCATCTGGCGAAGTCGGAACCAGCTAGAAGATACAGTTCTGAAGTACGCTTTCGGATACTGCAAAATCGTAGCAGTACAGCCGTCGTCATTTTCCTCCGTGAGGGGAATGGATGCGCCCTATTGCGTGAGTTCGGGAAGACCAATCCGATGTATGTACATATATATGCATTGTCTGAAGCTGTAGGTCACACTGAGCCGGCACACAAAGCCTGGAATCCGGGCATGCTCCGAGGTTCCTCGGTGTCAAGGTAGTCTTCCGGAAATCCTGAACGCACCATGCGCGGAAACTCGGGAAAAATAAATGCCTCCGATCGGGGGCATGATGCATGGTGACTTATTCGTGGCGCTAAGTGTGGGCGAACCCACGATGGGTCAGAGTCAGAGCCCTCTCTTGCTTGGCCGAGCCTGTCTTACGGTCGGGCACAACGGCACGACCGATGGCGAGCTTTGTATTATCATCATTAACACACATATATGTGAGGATCAAGGTCTCCTTGAGACTGCATTGACTGATTGAGCTGTGGTCTCAAGAGTCACCCCTAGGAATCAGAACCCATTTCAAGTCGGATGTCGACATCGTGTCGAGTGCAGCCTTCGGAGCTTACCGATCTTAGGAGGGCACTCGAGCTGGTTTCCCGGTGCAAGTTCCCTATGGATGAGTGCGGGGGATCATCCGCCGGAACTATCTCGACCTGCAGCGGAGTGAAGAGATGTCGCGAGGATCTTGCGCAGAAAGGGTATCCCATCCCGTGACGTTATGCCGCGCGGGGCCGCTCCCGCTACGCGGACTCCACCCGCTTGCGAGACGCCGCTCTAGCGGGAGTAGGGTGAGTCCAAAATTCCTTGCTACCATTGGTGTGCCTGTAACCGGGGATTGTCACATTCATGAAAGAAGCTTCTCTGTCGGCCGGATACGACGAGTGAAATCTGAGACATTCCGATCTTTCTTGTTCACCCTTATCATGTTCTTTTGGATGAACACGATTTTTCCAACGATGAAGGCGACGAATTTCGTGGGTAAACAAAAAGTTGATCAGATCGATTCCCCAAAATCAAGTCTCATCTTCACGGATTGAGTCGATCTTTGTTGACGTCTCACTGACGGATCACTTACGCCAGCCACGGACCTCCGAGGTGTGAAAGAGAAATCCACGGAACCCTGTGTCGGGTTTATTTCAGTCTGCGGACGGCATTGGTCGACTCCCATTCATTCTCAGAAGGAGACTCTCACTTGAGGTGACCCTCAGGAGCTAGGATGGGAGATCTAGGACTTGTCTTAAAACGGAAGACGCTAGGAATCGTGTCCTTCCGGTAGAATGAGATATTCCCTGTCCGTGTTCCAGTGTCTAATTAAATCTTGAACCTTTCTCAATAAAGAACCCAGAAGTCTAGCTCTCGCAGAAAGGGCTGTTCGAAAGAACTCCGAGAACAATTGAATCCATGATCGAACGCCTCGCCAGCTCGATGACGGTGGTCTTTCTTCACGTACTCGGTCTTCATTCGGCAGACCCAGCAACAAATCGACCAACCTAATGGATTACTTCACCTAAACGGCCCCGTTCGACAGGGTTCCACTGAATATTTGTGTGTCCTCCCGACTCCCGGCTCATTCCTGGGGTCGACTTCAACGCTGATATATGGTCTCAGAATTGCGGAGATCAACTGCTCTCCGAGTCGCTAAGCTGAGACACTAACTTATCCACCCAAAGCACAGTCTGGTGGATTGGAGGAGATTTCGAGGAGAACTCTATCCGTTGATCCGAGAGCAGAAGAAATGATGACTTAAGGATCGAAGTTGGAGAGGATCCGGGGCCGAGTGGGAGTCACGCGAGCCTTCTGGGGACGCGCTCGGTCCCAGTCCTCAAAGAGTTTGGCGGATACCACCGACGTAAAATCGTAAGCGGAAGATGAATGAAGACATCAACGGAAAATGCCACAATCAAGCACTCACAAGCGGAGAGAATACGCGACCGGCCCACAGACGTAATTCAATTCGCTGCCCGCCACCCAGAAATCATCGCCTGCTTTCTCCGTGGAGCCTTTCATTTCGAACTCAGCCGACCGGACGCCCCCGCTAAGAAGTTCAAATCGAGCTCCTCCGGCGACCGTCGAGCGACGACGTTCGATGAGAGCTTTGATCTGAACGACCGTCACTCAGGCGGACGATGTAGAGCACGACCAACGATTGCTTTTTTCAGACCGGGGCCAATGGATTCATACAGTTCACGAGCAGACTAGCCGCACAAACAATTAGACCGTTAGCAGCTATTGCCCAGTCGGTCCCTCCGATTGAGCATCTTCTTCATCTGACTCTGAATCGATCCGAGGTCTCCCCCGAAAAGCACCCGTTCTAACGGGTGCCGATGAAGATGTTGCACGGAGTCACGCGCCGTGTTCAACAAATACTCCGTCTGCAAACCTCTTGCCGCGCGCAAATTATAGCTGAGTGAGCAGGCGGCGGACTAAACGGTTTGTGGAGCTGTCGACGGAACCGAATAAGTTCGCTGCTTGTTTGACTAACTGGCGGGCGAATTATCGGACCTCCAACAGCGCGATTTGTGGTTTCCGTAGTTCGTTGTAGTCTAATAGATTTAAATGTTTTCGATGAAACAGAAGCGGTGCCCAAGGCTCCGGACGCCTTTCCGCGAACTGTCGTGCGTGGCTGTTGATCGTAACGACTTCATTCCGATCGCAGAACTTTCACAGCAAAGTTCCGAGCTAGGCTCGATTGTCAGGGATACGCTCAGAACCCTCTGGAAGAGTTTCGATTGCAAGTCCGATTTCATTCCATCCAGAAATTCAAATGGTCGCTATCCCATCGCATGTCAGGCAGGGGAATTCTTATCGGCGGAAGTGTGGCGATCTTTTGTTCCAAGTCGTGGGGGTTCTCGTTACGACAACGAATAGCAGATAACAATGAGCGTCGGATGTTTTGCAGTTCGTGTTTGTGTCGGCAACTTTCAAACAAATGCTAGGTACTTGTTCGGCGCGGTCGCGTGGGGCCGGCGAGTTAAAACACATTCCTTCCCTACACTGAATCAAATTCTTACTTAATACTCAGCTGAGATAAGCCAAGAGAGTGCTACTGTTTCGGGTCCGGGAGACACGAGTCGATGCGATCCTGATGAAGCGTCCCCTTAGTTCGCTGTTGGTCAGGAATCTGGGTCCGCTCCTCGTTTCGAGGCCCGTGATTAGCTCCCTGCGAGCCGAAGGATCCGGAGGACTCGAACGTTTTCTCTCTCATTGTGCAATGCAACGACGATTTCCGAGTGTCATTTTTCCCTTGTCGGGAACCGGAAAGAGGATTCGGCACGAGATTTTCGAAACCTGATAGAGATCGGATAGATTCTGGTAGGTACTCCACAGAAAAGAGCGAGACTTCGTCGAGAATCCTACATGGGTCGTCAGACACTTTTCGATGATGCATCTCGAGATGCAGCTTTCGGGTGAAGGATTCGTAGATCAGAGTAGCAATGACGTCTGACAATGATGACCGCTTGCCAATCTATGGGGAATTCGACTGATGCCGATGTCTCTATTGCGGAACCCAGGGACTCTCTCGGAGACTGCAAACTCCAAAACAGTCGAACCACCAGCGTTGCGACAGATCATCGCGCACACGATCAAGGAGTTTGTTATTTACTGCGAGAAGAAAACCGATTTCCAACTTAGGTGGTCAGAGTTTCTTGACCGGGAGGGAAGCGTTCACGAGGAGAGTGAGGCCGATCATGTTTCGAAGACGGATAGCTGACGATCGACCTCGGAAAACTTGAACCACCCATTATCAATTGTTTGCTTTCACTCCATTCCCGACCCGAACACCGTTTAACCCGATGCGGTTAACCAACTTGAGGTTACGCCTTCAGTTCGAGCGAAACCTCGGGTCATAAGTCAAGTTCTAGCTCGAGCCTTTCTCGACCGACCTACGTACGTCACTGTCCTCTCATGGAGACCGATCGGTTTCAGTAAGCCCTCCTACGAGAGTCTTCCGTCAGGAGATCCACAGGGAACAATGCACAAGCTCATGACGAGTGCACCTCTGAGCGTGAAGACTCCACGATACGCGCGAGCGACTCGCTCGAACTGCGTTCAGAACCTTCGTCGGCTTTGCTGGTCATCGTGAGGAGTTGATCGAAGCTCGAGAAAAAAAGATAGGCAACGCTCCCTTGCTGCCCTCGCGCGAGTTCGGCGCACGTCAGAGAGCGACAACTGCTCTACCATCCGACTTGTAAGATTCGGATGCCGAACTATTTCTTCGACGCGACAAAACCAGTGGGATGTTTAATGTTTCAGGAGAGCTGACTTTCTACGGTCCGCTTCGGTTGAACTCAGCATCAGCGAGTCTGGTGAGAACTCCGAGAAAAGCTCACAGCTGAGTGAAATGCGACGATGACGACTTCGGGCTGCGACTCCCATGCCGGCCGAGGGAGAAAGAAAAAAAGATGTTCCCCAGACTGACGTCTCGCCCCGATCAACCTCGAAGGGTCACGGCCCACTTCCAGCGAAAAGCTAATGACTTCTTAATGGATTCGCGGCATCTAAGTCAAACTAAATTTTTCCGGCACGTGGCAGCCCGATACCGGATAGTGCGCTACCGTGCCGCTCCGGACCACCTATCTGAGTGACTCGCAGAAGAGCATCGAGCTCTCGCATCTAGAATGCAGTGACGCAAGGAAAGGGTTGAAGGGGCCGACTCTGATAGACTCTGGGCCTCGCCCGAAAACTGAAATTTCGAGTGATGTTCAGGAGGTCCATGAGAACTTGGTGGAATTCCGTCTAATCTGATGAATTGAATCATGTCTAAGCTGATGTTTGGAAAGAACTCGAGGAGCGCATCGCAACATCGTCGGAGAGGCGATCGGGTGGATAACTCAATTAAAGGGATGACAGAAGCTAAAGGGTTGCAGAATGGCGACCAGAAGAGGGTTAGCTCCAGACACCGCGTCTGGGGCATGAAGGAGTACGGCACGTGAATATTCTTAAATTCTTCCTCTGCCATTCAGCTTCAGCAAACAGAGCGCGAATAATACAGAGAGCGGGAAACGAAGATTCACCGCGAGCAAATGACGCGCAAACAAAGGTGCTTATTGCTGTTTTACGACAAGACCGAGCTCAAGGTGTTGATGGCATTTCACCCGCAGTCGAAACACCGCTGGGGTTTGAGCCTGAATCCCGAAACGAGCCCTCGACTCTCTATCGCGATCGGCTCAGCCGTATCCATTCTGTCCGAACTCCAGTGGACGTAGAATCACATTTCCGGAAATTTTTCCCGAGACGATTCAGGGATGGTTTCGGGGAAATCCCACCTACGATTTCTGCATTTCGACGCCCAAATCGGATCCATTATCTGCGTGGATACTGGGAGATATCATCAACTCCCAGTGACGTTTCCGATCGCGAGACTCTCGGGAAGGTCCACGATTATTTGAGTTCACCTGATTCTGGAACCTCGATACCCATCGATTGTTCCCTCGATATTTCGGGTAAACGAACGACTCGGTGTGTTACGAGAGGTAAGTATCAGCATCTCGTCCGCGAGCGGGGAGTCTCCACCACCATACAGAGTGGCGTCTACAGAAAGGGCCTCATAGACCACCTGCGCCTAAAAAAGTCGTTCGGCCTTTGTAGCTTTCGAGAGCTCGAGAAAGTCATAGATACTAGAACAAAGTAAAGTCTTTTCGCTCAGGTGAGTCAGTTTAAACTCTGCTTGGCAATCCCATCCGAATCCCGCACTCTTCTCCGGTCTGCGATCTCCTCGGAGGGCGTCGCCTTCGTGCCTCTTGGACGGATTCCTCGATTCCCATTCTGACGCTCTATCTTCCAGCGTGGTATTCTGATTCCCGTCGAAGTGGACGTCGGTCTGAGAGCCAGGGATTCGGACTCCGCGCGCTTGCAAGGCAGGGGAGATATCGGGCCCCCGCGGTTAAATTGACAGGGACGAGCGAGAATCTCATCGGGAGCAATATCTCCGTTTGGGGTTATTTGATGAATCTGCATTGATGAACGACCGACTCTGTTTGTACTATGATCCACTGGCTGTCTGTTGAAGTTCTGGGCTGAAATACGAACGAAGTCAGACATCCAAGTAAGCAGGCAAGCGAAAGCCAGGCAGCGGGCAGGTGTTCAGACCAAGGCTCTATCAAAGCGGCCTGGGGATTCACTTCACGAGCAAGAAAGTTTCAGCACGCGAACGGCACGAGCCTTCCTCGATTCAGCCGGGCGCCGATTTGTGATATTTTCTCTTTTTTCAAGCACTAACACCAACATATGATAGACAGCGAGAACAAGCGCTTGGATCGTCGCCAGACCCTTTGCGTAGGACATAAGGGGCCTATTCAACTTGCTCGCCGAAAGCTGGGAGCGTGGGGTGCTTCCCGTCCGTTTCCCCAGAGCCGAAGTTCTCAAGGGGAGTTTGAGGACGACCCTACGAACCCCTCGACTTTTTCTCGGTTCGCGGCAATCCCGGTGCTGTCGCCAAGCACAATCTATGAGAACCTCGCTTGAAAAACCGTGGTATCAGGATCTCATGAATGCGATGGTCTCTGCAAGTCCCTTTCGCTCGGATATGAGCGTAAGACAATCTAATCCGGATCGCAATTCGATTGGACACAATCAGTCCATTTATATTGAGATTGCCATAAAGGCTTCATCCCGTGCGAGATCGCCCGACATGCCCCCCATCAGCTGAGTCCGAAGGGCGCCGACGTCTCAACGACGGAACACGTGAATCAAGCTCATACACACTTCGAAACTTCCTACTTTCCAAATTACTATATATCACTTTGATAACCAATCCGATTCGTGGTCTGGATGACTAACTGTGACCGGTGACGAGCAGACTGTTGTAGTGCCTAAATCGACCTCATCATCGACTTTTCTCCAAGTCTACCCGCATCGATGCTCCTCGGTGGAACAAAGTTGGTCTGGGTCTTCCTGAGAATCGCAGCAGCGAGCAGCAAAAGAGCTCTACCAAGCTCAAGAGCTGGGTAATCCTGGCTCAACTCGCGCCCGACTCCACCTTTCGACTAGCTGAACCTGATGTCAGTTCCCCAGATTCACCCTGTGAGCGAACAGTCTCCGTTGAGCTCCCCTCCAGGCCGCAAGATATTCGCAACGATGTTCGTGCTGTAATCTCCATTTCCATTGTTTCTGTACTCGACGAATTCAAGTGAAAAACCATTCCGAATCGATATGCCGAAACAGGAAATGTCTTATAGGTGGTTATAGCGAACACTCGGTAGTCTAAGTGAAGCGGACATGCGAAACCCAACCACGCACGCTTATTGTACATACACAGATTGACTTTCGACCTCCGGCAGGTGAGCCCCGAAATCATTGAAAATCGATTCGGAAACATCAGACCTAACAACCGGCCTGCTAGCCGACAACAGCAAGTCATCACGCGCTCATCACATCCGCTCGAAACGCTCCAAGCGGAGTAGAATGTGCCTGTAAGGCCTTTGAGGAAAAGAGAGAGACGAGCGCATCTCTGAGCGGCAGCAAAGGTGCGCTCAGCACGAAAAGCTGAAGTACTGTATGGCTGGTGATGATATCCTTTCCGTTAGATGAAATCGGCTTTCGGAAGGGATCGGAACAAAGACCGTTGACAGCTCGGCTGAGAGACTTTGATGAGCACCATCAAGCTCCGGTCGCGTGCTCTTCGAGCCCGCGTTCGAGTCGAATCTGATATAAGTGCTCGAGAATTGATTTTACCGGGGGTGATGGTAGGCGTCGGCAACGTAGCGGCGTCGGAGCAGGACTTGATGACACGCTCGATAGGAACGCACGGCGACATCACCGGAAATATCGACACCCTCCATCCACTTACTCATCGTGAGGCATTCAGAATACCTGCGCGCCCCCACATCATGCGCTTCCCATCCCTTCCCGAATGTGTTCCGTCCATGTCGCGATATCGGACTCCGGCTGGGGAAGCGACGCTTGCTAATAATACATATAAGCTTCAAATTCGGGAATCGGGCATTCTAGGAGGGAGCAATGGAGTACATCCGGTTCCGCCCACGCTTTGATCTCAAATAAAGTTCTCTCACGTATGATCTTCCCCACGTCCGCGATGCAGGTCTGAAGAAGCTGGTCTAGGCGGACGGAGTATCACAGGAGCGAGCAACTATTTTGGCCGAGTTATTCAAACCTGAAGCTCTCTCGCTGTGTTTATAATATTACTAGCCGTGAGGGCGCTTCGCGCCCCCACAGCCTTAAGGGAATCAAGTGTTGCTTTTCGTTGTCCTAGGGGAATGGTATGCAAGCAATAAACATCTTGTTCCTCTTCGGTTCTGGACTACATAATTATCGTGAATAAGGGGTGTTGAGAGGGGCTCATTCTCATGAAGATTATTTGTCAAGTCTCGGAGTGGGAAAAGGTCTGACTGCGCTTCATAACCGGGCATGGTTCCGAATCCAAGCGCAGAGAGCCGGAGCCTGTCGGGACCGGCCAACGTTGTGGCGTACTTTCTTAGCGCGGGGTGACGCTTTCGAACGAAGCGGACGATTTTTTTTCCACGGGCACCTCACGGCATTCCGGGCACCTCTTCTCAGAGCCGCAGCTGAACGCTGAAACGAATGGAGTAGAGTCTCCTTCCTTGATACAGGTTCCGATTGCGAAGCTAGTTCAATGTAGACTGTGCGCTCGTGCCCGTAGAACTTTTAAAAAGGTGACCTGATGAGTACTGATGAGATCATAGAAGCGGCTTTGCATTTTGTGAAAAATAACGATTACTGCACAAACACGTCAATTTCACGGCGAACATGCGTATAAGCAGCTTGAGAAGTATATCTTGACCTCACTGGAGTGATTGCGCATCGATCGGGAAAATTTGGGGTCTGTTCGGAGGTTGAGAGCTCTAAAAAGTGGTCCGGTGTCAGGCAGACATAGCGCTTTTATCATTTAGGGGGATAGGGGGATTGAGTCGTCTGACCTGAGCGAACTGATCAGCGAATCCGTGCATCCGTGAGGATCGATGGGGAGACGGGGGCTCCACTCGCCCTCGCGACTGCAACCGCATACATTTAAGAGCAAAGACTCCATCAGGGGCTGAGTGCGGGAAGCAGGGTTGGAGGAATCATAGTGACCCACGTAGCATGGTCGTACAGCTTTTCGAAGCGTCTGCGTCGCACGGCGCGGTTCTCCTCAGCCTAACTGTCGCAAGCCTGAGACGACGGCGAGAGCATCTTCTCATCCGTGCGCCGAATTCTGGGGGGGGGAGGTTCCGGAGACGTGGTCCGACGAGCCCCGCGTCGCTCGCATCAGTCTATACCTTCGATTCTCTACATTCGAGCATATTCCGCAGGAGCGCTGAAGACTCCTCATCTCCAATCATGATAAGTCGGTCTCAACACCGGCGGAGAGGCCCTCTCGTGGGAAACTGAGTCGAGCAAGAGCCGAATTCCGTTTTATTCCAGCAACGATTCTCGTATTCTGAGTTTCCTCGGGTACAACTATTCGTTTCGCTGAGCGAGAATATCGGCTCGAGGATGGAAGTTCTCAAATTGTAGTCTTGAAGCATATGGGGCAACCATTCGGCAGAGTTCGAGGAATATCGGATGGAGTACAACATCTATCGAACTTGCACTTCTCAAAGTTGCAGAAATCACTGTCTTCGTCGTCCGAGAGCAAGCACAGCTTTTCTCTCAGGTTCGGTAAGGCTTTCAGACATTTGTTGCAGGAACCTTCGTCTCCAGTCATGACGTAGGCCTTGCAGACTTCAGCTGCAATGCAGGAAAAGAGCGGATCAGCTGTAGGTATCCGGGATGGAAGTCGAGATGGGGACAACGTATACTCGAAGGGAGTTGAACTCACGCTCTTCGTCGTGATGATGGTGATGATTCCGCCGATGAGACCCAAAGGCCAGACTTGTCGTAGAGACGACAATCAACAACACGAGGAGAGTCCTTGATTTCAGATCCATCACCAAACAAATCCCGGAGGTGACCACGTCTGAGACCGGCACAACTGATCCGAGCGGAGAGTCGGGAAATGTCCAACACCTTGGAGATATACTGCGCGCTGTTGAAATTCGAGATTCTTATCCGTAGGTGAGGGTGCAGCGATCGCTCGTATCTCTGGAAGGAAAACACCCATGCATGAGTAGTCCCTAACGTGTCGACGTCTCCATTGGAGCGAAATCCACAGGGCCGGGAAGACTAGGGAGTTCCTCCGCTGGATAACTTATTGGAGTGGTTCTCTAATTCCGTGGAGCATGATGAATGATGAGTTCGCTTGCCAGCGATACAATATTGAATCGGTCTAACGATAGGCTTCTGGACGAAATGGCAAAGGCATTCGACGGTTGCCTATTTCTCGTTGTCTTCGGGGGTGTTGTCGCAGTTCGTGATGCGGGTCTGGCGATCAAACGCCGCACCCGAGGACCTAACACTGTTGGAGACCTTTTCCTTCAAACCTTGCGGGAGATAGGCACAAGCCCAATTCGTCCCATTACGGGGAGATCGCATTTCAATCCTCATTCTTCCAGGCAAAGTACGTCCTGAGCGCAGTATGGGGCTCCGGAGCCGAGGGGCGCCTTTTTCCAAGTCGCTCATGAGGGTTATGCTCTCTCGACTTCATATAGGTCGGTCCATGTGCTCATCTCTAATGCCCTAGAACGATTTTCCGTGAAGGCCTCCCGTCAGGGCATTCGGAAAGAGATTCCCCCTTCCTTTATTTTAGCTCTGTTTCATTTCGAATCCCTTCAATTTATTTCATCCCTCCTCTAGAGACTCCATGGGCATTCTTCGCTTCGACGGGACGGGACTCGCCGTGCGGCCGGAGAAATCGGAGCTCCTCGCCGGAGATTATGCTGGATTCCGTCTCATGGGACAAAGCCTCCAGAGTCTCGACTCTAGAACTCCACTCTAGACCATACGGCAAAATCTCTATACGCAACGAAAATTTGACTTGTGTTGATATCGTTTTATTGTAACTCGTTCTGTTACAATGCCCATGCAACTGTTGCCGTTGATACTCGTCGACGCTTGCTGTCCGTACATGGTATCGCTGACGTGATTCCTTCCCTATGTTGCTTTGTCGTGACTCACGCTGAGGATAGAAGCTTCCGTGTCGCTCCCGAGCTTGATCGGAAGTAAGGTGATTGCGTTGGGGATTGGGTATATTGGATAAAGGCTGATAGAAATGACGGGTTCGGAACTTCCCGTTCGTGGGTCTGCGGTGAATGAGGAGTTTGCTTGTCGACCAACTCTGCTGACTTGCACAATCGAGGCTCGACGACAACGGTAAGATCGTAAGAGGACGTCATTTCGAGAGTTGGGTGTCACGAGTGGGAGGAATACACGACGGGAATTATTTTCGGTGCTTATTTACAAGTGGAATATTTGTATATTATGAGGTCATCAATTCGATGCGGGTTTCTTGGCCAGTTGAGCGATCTCTTTGCTCTGCACGACGACCTTCGCTACGCGTTGGAACTTATCGGCGGCGTATTTTTTGTAGGTCGTCTTGAGGTACTTGTTCGTTTCGACAGTAGCACCCAGCTCGGCCAGCTTGCCAACAACGAAACTCAGGTCTTCCGTCTTGTACTGGCTGTAGTACTGCACGGTTTCGTCCCATTCAACGATGCCAGTGACGCGTCCAGCGATGAAAAGCGAGGCCGCTGCGACGACCGAGGGGTTGCAGTGCACCAAGCTGTAATCGTAGAGCGCCAACTCGAGGAAGTATTTCGCCATGGTGTGGGTGAGCGAGTCCGCCCCACCGGCCTTAGAGAAGCGGCGCAAGAAATGCGCACTGAGTGGCTTAGCGAACTCGAATTGCAGGGTGCTCAGAACGATTCGCTCCATGCGTAGAATGTCATCGGACGTGTAGGCCCCGTCGCACATGTAGGCGAAGTCCGAGACCGACGGTAGGTACATTTCCTCGTACTTGCAAGCAACCAGCATGCACGCGACGCCTGAAAGCGGTCAGATTTGAGATGCCTGTACTACAGAGAGCCCAAAAAATCATAGATGAGCGTCGAAGGCGGGCGAGAGTTCCCCTCAGAGAAAAGGAGACCGCCCGGTTCCCCGGTACTAACCGACGAGCTGGAACTTGCTACGACTGACTTCCATGTCGGTCTCTGACATGTATCGATCCAAGATGGAGACTGTCATCAAGAGCGTTTCCTGCAGGAGCTTGAATCGAGCCTGGAGTGAAACCAGCCACTCGACGAGGATCATACGCATGTGAGCCCTCAGCGTCGGGTGCTTCTGGAGATACCTGTACGAATGAAATAATACAATAATGCGCTGACATCGATTGAGTGGGCACTCGGTCGGTGCTCATGGAATTCGAAACATGCGCTCGTTGTTTTGGCCGAGGCGGCGCTCGTAAATAAAAAACGAGTCTCATGTCGCCGAGCTCGAGACAGGTCGTCCGGCGAGGAACTCACTGGGGGTGTGCCGCGTTCTGTCCTTCGATTTTGAAGAGATATTGGTAGATGTCTTTCACGTAAACAGAGCTGAACTCGAGATGTTCCATATCGTCTTCATCGATGTCGACCATGTCGATAGGGAGAGGGATCTTGTCGATCTGGACGCTCTTCGGCGCAGGTTTCGGAACCTCGACGACGGTCTGCTTCAAGGATGCTGGCTGAAGTTTCGGCTTCGTTGCCTTGAGGACATGGGACGTAACTGTTGCGACGTTAGTACTGCGAGTACTGAGCGCCAGGCGAGGCGCGACCTGGTTTTTCGACAGTCCATTCTGAAAAGGAATAGAGGAGATGAATTTCGGTCTCGAAACTTTTCGGAAGTATCGCCCATGTCGAATTAGGCAAAGATGAATCGTTTTTCCATTTCGAGTCGGAGCTTCAGTTGAGCGAATGCAGAGATCTAGTCAGATATCTCTGTCGCGTGCGAGGCGCGTCTGGAGAGCACGGCTCTGGAATTGGCGCTCAACGGTCTTCGCAAGGAGAGCCCAGCGCCCCGGCCCGACGAACAGTGAGACGACGCGTCGCTCGCAAACTCGTCAAAAGCCACGGACGGAAGCGACGTCGATGTTCCGATCCACGGGGATTTACTCAATCCGTTTCGGGCTCGATAGAAGTCATCAGACAGCGAGGAAATACCGATTGATATTTAAAAATTCTGCTGACGTCATTTCCGACTTTCAAATTGTAACTTTGCAGTAATATCTTATCGATTGACGCCTCGAGGAAACTTTTCCTTGGTAGAGACAATCACTCAGGCGAAGCCGAGGAAACTGTCGCTGAACTGCGGATCAGGTCGACCTAATGAGACCAAGCTGCGTTCAAGCGCATCTGGCCGGTCAACGGACTTTCGCGGGGCTGCTCAGGAATCTAGCCGTTGTCGCGTTTCGCGCGCTCAAAAATAAGAATCGCGACCCGGGAACTCGATGATGTTGACCTTCTTCGGATCCTGGCAAGGTATTACCCTCTGTATCGACGGGTTGCCGCGATGATACTGACCTTCAGCGTTTGAAGGGGCGCGTTATTCTCCCGAGTAACGGCCAGTTGAGATCTCTGTTGTAAAGACATTTTCGTTGTCTTTTTGCTGGCTCAGCAAGTCGACTTCAGATAGCGAGTAGCAAAAGTGCACAATTTTCTTGCCCGGTCACAAATTTCACACGAGGCGCGTCCAAATGTCTGTTGCAGTGCTGGCGCCTCCTGCTTCACCACAAAACGACTACCGCTCGCGGCTTCGTGAAAGTTTAAATCTCGAGGGAGAGAGCCCGCCGATTGGCTGCGAGAGAATCACGGGAGCGTGGCGCCAAATTTGAAAAGGCGGTCACCCCATGTCTCGGGCAGGAAAGTGTTCCTCTACTTCTCGCTCCTTCCTCTGTGCCGATGCTTCGAACTCCATGCACCGATGTCTCTCTGAGGGGGGATTCAGTAACCGCGTCCGATTGGAGCGACCAGACCTGCAGTGGGGCTCGTCTTTATTACTCTTCAGATTTCGAGCAGTTGTTTCCGGAGCGTCGGATCGGGCCCGATAATTCCTACGGCCTAGATACTGCCTTGTCTCCGGAACCTTCCACTGAACGGTTCAAAACGGGAACAGGATGTTCCGTGTGGGCGAATCTGAATTTTCCCCTGATGTTCTCTCAGGCGACGGGAACTTCGGATGGAGATCGTAGGAAGTTCATCCACCTCTCTTGACGGTTCAGGAAGCGATTACTTCTCTTGCTCGTCAATGATATTCGGTCCTAGAGAGACTGCTGACGAGTTGATCATTCAATCATCCACGGGGATACTGCTCCCTTTCAACATGATGCTGTTCATCCGTGCTGCACATGCCGCAGGGATGTACTATGCGTAGTGATTCGCCTTCCCGAATGATCCTCACCAAGGAGATACGACTGGTTAATGTATCTGTTTTTATTGAGTTCGCTGAAACTTCGGCGTTGCGTAGCGACTCGGAATATCGGGTGACTGAGCGGACATTATAAATGAAGCCCTGGAGACTCGAGACGCGAGGCACAGATCGGCTAGCGATACTAGCCCCGCCGGGACAGGATTGGCGAGCAATAACTGTACACAGAGCTATAGTGAATAGTCCGATGAAAACTTGTATTCGAATTCTCCTACACCGAGCCGTAGTTTTCCCCACGGAGCGAAAGAATATCGAAGCCGGGAGTCGAGCTCGGATATTCGCATCTTCCGTACAATGAATAATGCAGAATGTACAATAATCTGTCGGCCTTTGTGCACCGAGCACGTTCCTTCGATCAAACTTTCTTCTTGATGCGTTCGCAGAGTGAAGGTACTAGCTTAAGATTTTTCGTGAAAGGTTTCGCGAGACTGCAGCACAGGTACCTGGAAGGTCGAGGCTCGAGAATTATTATTCCGCGGACTCCAACGCTGTCGACGAAGATTCCTCCTGAGGCAACGATAGGGTCTTGCACTCACTCGAATAGCTCTTCAAGCTTAAAATCTGGCAGCTGCAGCGACGGTATCGCGCAGCACAGAGGTGAACTCAGAATTTCCTCGATGATCCGTTTGAAACGCCTCAAGAAGCAGTCACCGAATCTGAAATGGAGGGCGACTTGAGATCACCACATCCCAATCACTTGTCGTGAGCAGCTGCGGAAAACTAGCGGGTCGAGCTGTATCCGAGGGGATTCATCCATGAATGCTCACCGCAGCTGATATCTTTCCACTTTCGTGAAGTATGATTCGAGTTCACACCATAGCGCGAAGTACTCCTCGGTTCCTGCGGCCGTTCGATAGAGAGGGTCATGAGTCATGACGTCGCATCGAGATACGATGATTTTCATAACTGAGGAGTTCTGCGTGGACTCACCGTCGCACGTAGGTCTCGAGCAAGAGAAAGATTTTCTCGTTAACTTAAGAGAGTGGTCTTGGAGGGTTTTCTGGAGAGAGCTCTGGAGCAGCTGCAAGGTGTACCGGACTCCAGCGTGCTCGTCGATGGATTCCAGCTCTTCGAAATTGAAGACGATGCATTCGCTGTGGAATAGGAAATGCAGCTCTTTAGGTTCAATTGTCTCTCGCGATGACGTGTGAACAAAGAGCCAGAGAGAATCAATTTCTGCTATGATTTCTGAGGCGATCTCTTCGTACTCACTCGAAGCAAAACCGTAAGGATCGAAAACTTCTGATTACCGCCGTGCTTCTCTGTTCGGAGAAGAGTCGAATTAGATAGATGCCCGAGCTGAACCGATGCATCTGGCGGATAGGATCGGTCTCGGTTCACTCACATTCCGGTTCTTCCGAAAAGAAGCTTCTGCGGAGGATTTGTCCGGCGACTCACTGGAGAAAAGATGGGAGCTGTCTCGAGACGCCTCTGTGGCGGCGGGCGTGATGTGCGGTTCGTCGTGACTTCCCACGAGCGCGACTTCGAGACCTGTCTGTGAGGAACTGGCAATATGAGGACCGCTCAAAAGACATGAATATCCTCTCCCAAAAGCAAGAATGCTCCCTTCGTAATACCAGAATACTCGAGATTAACCATCATTCATCACATAAGACTTCGAAGTGGATCAAAACAGTTTGGAAAGATCCGACGGAAGATGAAAGGAGCTCGATGGATTACCAATTCTGTAGCCGGTATGAGAGGAGCATTAGGACAGGGTCCTCTTGATTTGACTGCTTCGACGACTTGACCCAGTGCGCGCAATCTCTCGGCCATCCCTGGATTGTCCGGGACGTTTTCGCTGACAGCTTCATCCCCACTCTCACCGCTATACGGCGCTTGCAGATCCTGCTGGAGTTCTTTTGTGGATTTCATAGAACTGGAACATTAATTGCGTGATCGATGAAGATACTAAGGAGCTCAGAACGTTCCGCATCCACATGGGGCCGGTCGGGAGTGCTATCGAGAGCGCGTCGACAGATCCAGAATAGGGGAGCTCCAAATATCGGAGAGAGATCTGTGCGAGAGTGATATCGAACACCGTCGCACCGCCACCAATCTCAGCGCGGCCGGCAGCCATCTTTCCGTTTGTTTGAATAAACTCTTCCCGAGAGCGTCAACCGCCGTATTCTTCACGCCTTGGACTGCATGCTCCGAAGCGCTTTCTCGGTCATCGCGTAAACTCACTTTATGCTTTGCAGAGCGTTCGGATTTTGCTTCAGGAAACGCGCCTTAATTTGTGGCGTGACTCGACTGTAGGAGCCTATACGGTGAATTATGTGTTTATGAAACCGTTCTCGGAGTCCGTGGAAAGATCGGCCGGCGGGGTTGAACTAGGGGGAATAGCAATAAATCCTTGAATTCTTATTTGAGCCAATCGAAAATCAGCCCATCAGAATTGCGTCGCTCCTCACGCGGTGGCGAAAGACCGGGATTCCTCTCTGGCCACCGGGACCATGTCATCGGCGCATCAGTCATCATAGTCACATTGCACCACGTTCAACTCGGATGGCTCACCTTTCTCGAGCGGGACATGATTCGCCAGACCTCATTGCCCCCGAGGCGATTGAATTGCTTATTCTGAATGAGATACTCCACGATGAGCGTGTCTTCCCTCCGTGTGAAAACATCGAATGTCTGCAGATGGATGGGTTTTTTTGTGACTTCGAGTCAAGACAAAAAAAAAATCGAATTCTCACAAATGTCATCGATGTCCTAGGAGACAGCTTAGAGTACTCACTCTCCTCGCGTCAGATGGCGGCCAGTTTGCATCGTACTCGTAAAGATCTTCGGTGCCTGACATTCCCTCAGTACGAAACCGGAGAGTCAACGAGGGAAAACCGCACTAGAGCTCACACTCGATATTTGCTTCGTTTCCCTTCAATCACCAACTTCTTGGATAGCCAACCTGCTTCACTAAGACGAGCGTTTGTTCACTTTCCGATCAATTATGATAAGCATGCTGTTGCGGCAGTTCGATCAGCTGAGCTCCGTAGCCGAGAGGCAGAGCGATTGGCGCTCGGAGGAGCACCCTTGCGCGCCAATTTTCGAATCGGGAATCGGAACTGTGGCCCGACGAAACCCAGAAGTCCCGATACCCGCTTAGCCTACGGGATGTCTGCTAATTTTCATTCTTGCCTTGCCATCCTAAGTTTCCCCTGAAGAGATGGACAACCGATGGGATTATTTCCTTTTCCCAGGGTCTCCTCAGGGTTACACATCGAAGACTCCTCAATTTATTCTCATGAAGTAGAAAACGTCGATTCACAAATTATCTCTCGTTCGCAATCGCGGAGGATGAAATCCTTCTCATCCCCATCGTTCTCGGGGACTCGGGAGTTTCTAGGATCGATTCTAATTATCCGAAGTCTACGTCTCGGTTGATTCTCCTTCGGCGTGTCCCGCAGTTTAGGATGAATCGAGTCGACACCGCGCAAATAACTTCTGCTCAAGGTTTCGGCTCTCGAGGGATTTCCGGCGTGAGATCTGGACCGCGAAAAAAATGTCCCGCGGGCACCACTGCATTGGTCAAAGACGGAGCCGGGCCGAGCGGTACGGACCCGTCCGGGATCAAACACAAATTGGCGGGCGGAGATCTTCATATGGATTCCTGTAATGCTAAGGATTGAGGACGAAATCTTGAGCAGGCAATGTCCTGGGACTTTCACCACGCTGGCGTAGTTGTCGTGGCGGGTTTTCATGTGTGATGTGACGTAGCGGGCCGTGATGCTCCGTAGCGGAGCGTGATGTGCCCTCACGATTGTGAGCTTGAAAAGAGTGTGAGACACACGTTTGCCCCCTGCCGCGGCAGGATAGACCAGGGGTTCTCAACCTTTTTTGCCCTGCGGAACCCTGGTGGGGTTCCGCGGAATCCTTATTATTGGTTTCGGACTCTATCTTTCCTTTTCCCCTTAATCACCTCAAAACCTTCGACCGAGATCGCATGAAGTATCCTGCATGCATTAGAGCTTAGAATACTCATCCCAATTTGATAAAATGAATAAAAGTCTGAGCAGCCGAGCAGGGGTTCGCGGAACCCAGGTTGAGAACCGCTGGGATAGACGGTGGAGACTTAGGATGGGCAGATCCAAGGAGGGCGGCCGCTCGCCACCCTTGTATCGTGTGTTCTTTAGGAACGATACAGTCCGATTGCGAGAATTGAAATCTGCCCAGAGAATCGCTCGTCGCTTTCATCGATCCTGCTGCGGCGGGTTTGGTGAAGGAGTCCTGACCTCGCCGATCAGGTGCTTCAGTCGCTTACCGACGCTCGAACAACGTGGCTCAGTGAAACTCGGCCGGCATCGGAGCCGCAGACGAGGGCGTTTTGCGAGGCAGTCGGCGAAGCATGCGTCGAGTTCGATTCTGAGGTCAGGCTTCCACGAAAATCTTTCTGAGACTCATACATACTGTGTCGTCGTCCGCCGGGGGGTGTTTCGGAAGTCCCTCCCGTTATGGGGACAAGCGCAATCTCGCTCGATTCGAATGCTCCCGATTCCACATGGGTGAAGCTTGATCTCACATCTTCCTCGAGCCTCGTAATGTTGGCGATTTATGAGTCCCGGGCTCTTCAAGTCGTGATATCGATTAGGGCGGTACGCAATCAGTGATGAGAATTCCATGATCTCGTGAGCAACATCGCACTTTCGGATTGCGGAGATCATGATGTATCTTGAATAGCCCATCTTGAATATTCCATCAATAGGAACGAGAATGCTGTCAGAAGAATAATAAGAAGGGATGGGCGCGTCGTGAAGCTCACGGAAGCTCCACAGTGCCTTCAGTCCCTGCGAGACCGCAACAACGTATGGCCAACGAAACCGAAGAGAGAGACCCACCCCGAATACGACAGATTCAGCGAACGATTAGTCGTTGGCGCTGGTGACGATTTCCGAAAAGATAATGCGGCATTCTCGAACCTGATCGACGTTCCGGTGAGCTCGAAGATGTAGAGCCGAGAGGATCCCGCATTGAGAACATCTCTACCTTATCAGGACCTGTGGGCGGAGTACAGAGGCAAGCCGGGCGATTTTCAATCATCGACGGTTTCTGTCGGGCCGCGGACGCCGACGTCCCATGCTCGTGACTCGTAATTGAGATCCCGGCGGCAATGCTCGGTCATGAGCTGAATTCTTCAGCTCACAAGCACGGCACGAGAATCGGATCCCCTTCGAGGTTGCTCCCTGAATTATTATACGGCCACACCAGGCTGAATGGCCTCCCGGAGTCAAGGGAGCTTGCATCATGCAAATATAGGAAATATATTACTCTTCGGTGCATGGCGTGCCCAGCGATCCCCTCGATGAACATCCATGAGACAAGGATATTTGCTTCCGCGGACATTTCAACCGATTTCGTCAGACCAATGCGCATAGTTCGGGTCCCCGACTTTGATGCCCAACCGACTCCCGGATATCTCTTACCCAGACACAGTACCTACTCAAAAGGGGAAGAGATTGGAGTCCGGTGAATCAGTCGATTCCCTATGGTTTCTTGATAGTGTTGTCCGATAATGAGAGCCTTGCCTTTCGCTCCGACTCGTCGGCGAACCAAATACCGATGGGCCACGCGGATGAGACGGGCGACACTTCTGAGCGCTCGAAAAGATTCGGTACTCTCGACTTCGAACTCTCATCCGACTGGGTGCTCGGAATCCGAAGAAAATAACTCGACTTCATCTCTATATTTCTCAGACTAGGCGGTGGGAACGAGGCCTATCATCCCTCGTTTACGAAAAACTTGGCAGTTTTCGGTCAGATCTCCTCACCCTCGAAGAAACTTCCAATGTAAGCTTCGGTGTTTTCGTCGAAGTCGACTACGGCGGTAAGACAGATCTAGATCAGCTCGTTATCGCGATTCGATCTAGTTCAGGAGATCGCCTTATTAAGTTCTGCACGAGAAGTTCTATGGGGGTATGAGTTCGATAGAATTCCCGAGCGTCCTTGGAGGCGCGGTGGCGAGCGCCGCGAAAATACTCGAAACATCGAGACATTTTTCGTAAGACAGGATCTATCTAGGAGAGTACCAAAACGGGAAAATGAACCTGTCTCTCGCAAAACGCCTTCGAGCGAGAACCCGTCCCTTGAACCCATCGTACGACCTATGTCTTCCTGCCTGGCAAAATTGGTCCGATTATAGTGATCCCTTTCGCCAGACGGCGAGTGAGTTCACCGAACGCGGTGTGGGTGGGATCATCGCTCGACCAGAGACGGCTCAGAGATTCGCATTGAGTTTCATGACCGAATCGGAGAAGGAACCAGATCATGACGTCCCTCAGACCCGTCGTCGCTGGTGTTTCGCGAGTGCTTGCATCGCTAACGTTGCAACAGAGGACCCATTTTCGATCTGTGTCAGAAGTTTTAAATGATGACTGGATTTATTCAGAGTGAAAAGCTCATTCTCGCGAGTTTCCGCATGCGGAACCATGGATATCCCATTCCTGGAATTTCCGATCTCCGAAATTTCCAGACTAGCACAACACTCACATTACACTCTGCCCGGCGAGATTTCCTCCTCCAATAGCTAGAATTCAAACAGGTATCCTACTGACGGGGGATCGTCCCTCCGGTTTCCACCTTGATGTATCCAAGACCTGTCTCGCTCTCCGCAGTCTGAACCACCAATATCGTCTGACGCTGCCGCAGTCGCTCGATTCCGCAACCGAGAGTATCGAGATCGAAGATCGGAACGATTCGGCGCATTCAGGTTGACGACTCCGCGTTGCTCGTTGTAGAGGTTAACGTGGGGGAATTCGGGGGAAGGAGCTCCCTCTTGATGGGAGCGTTCACCGCGGAGCCAGCCGGGATATGGCCCGTCACAGGTCTCTGACTGGCTGTGATCGGGAGAACAGACGGTGTAGAAGAACTTATCGTAGAGGAAGAAATCGTGGGAGATGAAATCGTAGGCGAACAGCTCCCGGCGTAGTAGCCGTGGAAGCTGCCTCCGAGCTCCGCGGAGCTCGTTCGCTGAAATAGGGCTGTACTCAGGGCGGGTCTTCAAGGCTTCTGTACGTTGACGCCGAAACTCTTCGACTTTTCAAGTATTTCCGAGAATCTAGGGATTTCGAGAGAGGGAAAAAAGACCCGGATCCACTTCCGGCAGAGAAACTGAACGCGCATGGAAAGCACCGATACCTTCTTCAGCGAGTCACTGCTGGGTAGATCCACGGCTTGCTGGTAATCCAGGATGCTCATCAGTAATCGTATGTAGCGAATGGCGAGTCGCAGTATCTCATTCTTGGAGAGCTTCTTGTCCGCAGGGTGCGTTGGAACCAATCGACGCAGCTCTGCGAAGGCTCCATTCACGTTTTGCTGACGCCATCGCTCGCGGTTGTTGGTGAACATCCGTTTGGGCGCCGAGGATTTCCGGGTGTGGACTCCGACAGGGGGTCCTGACAGAATTCGGGGCGGTGTCCTGGCTCTGGAGCTCAGAGTTCTCCCGGGCAGAGCGTATCCCGACGGTGTCTGAGTAGAATTCCTGAAAGCCGTATAGATTCACAGTAGAACGCGCTACACTGTACGTCGGAGAGTAAATCACGGCGATCGTAACGCTCGTGAGTTCTACGGACCTTATAGGAGTGGTGTCGCTCGCCTGATCGGTGACGCTGGAGGTGTGGGTGGAGGTTTCGTCGCCACTGAGACAGTAATTAGAGCTGGACTCGGAGAAGTTCTTCTCCGACTCAGAGTCGGAAACTTCTCCTTTCGACATTGCACTGTTGAATTCCGCCCGAGCGTTGAACGAAAGTTTCCTGGAGAATCGAAATTCGTCCACCTTCACAAAGCTTTCGCCCTGAACATACGAGCCGCACCACCTGAGTCGAATAGGCCCGGAATGTCATCAACTTTTAACATGAGGAAAACAGGAGACTGGTAAGAATGAACGTCCGAGAGTGTGGTGAACTGATCCGAACGCTCGGGCTCCGAGAGAGGACCCGCCTCCTGCATTCCCTCCCGCTCTTCCTCTGGGAGGCAGGCTCCTCCCAGACTCTTATCTCGAACGAACACTCGTCCGCAATAGAGCCGCGTCAACATTCCTCCGCTTAGCCAAGGCTCGACGAAGTGTGTAATTCATCGTTCGCAGCATCATGAGCGACGAATTGAAAACAGACCGAGAAAACGGAGGGATGGGTTTATCCTTCAGGCAAAACCACTGGCTTACCCAGGAAAGAAACTCTGTGAAGATTTGACACTGCCCCCACCCCTTCGGAAGAGGGGCCACCATTGACCTATTGAGCATAGGAGGGACTCTTCGCGCTGCGGGCTCGCTTCAGATGATCGCGAATTCGATCGATTCGATTTCTCTCAAAAAGTGCTGATCGAGTCCAACGAAGGCTCGCGGCCCGAATCTGATCGGAATCAGGAAGACTCCGGAGGAAATGTGGAGTCGCCAAGCAGAGCCTTGCTGAAAATTTCGCGGATTATTTTAGGGACCTGGACATTGACGGGATCTCCTCCGGAGAGCTCAATGCTGAGTGAAGAGAGAAAATAGAGTGTGCAGGGACCGGATTCTCTTCGGAAAGCTTAAGCAGGGCTGGAGAAGACAGTCTCGGGGCTCGATCACAGCAACGAAGCTCCATGGGCGATGAACCTCTCTCATGAAGCCAAGAAAGCACCTTGAGGATTTTCGCGAGTCACGAAATCTTCGCGTCTCAAGATCTCTTCGGTCGTCGGAGACGAAACCGTTTATCGTCGAGAAGAGAAGCCTGCTTCGATGGAAAAATGTTTTGATACGAATCAAAGAGTGGATTTGAATTCATAACACCCTCCATAGAGAGGCTGCTCCTGTGGCACGTGTCAAAATCAATTGACAATTCCCCTAGCTGAAGTTTGCTCTCCGTCTGTCGACAGCCTCATCCGACTGCTCGAGCTGGCCCCGCTTCTCTCGAACTGCTATCACATTGCACGCTCGAAATGATGAGATCCACATTATTTGTTCACAGATCCCCCGTATCGCTCACTTTCGCGCCCCAACACCTTCCTCCTCCCCCTGCGTCCCCCGCCGCCTCACACCCATCCTAACTGGCGCGACATCGTTTCCCGAAGCACTGCGAATAAATGTGGCGTATATGATCTCACACACGCCCATTTTTATTGGCTAACAAGCGATAAACCATTGTGGGTAGGCGAGGAGAGATTCTCACACGTTTCACATATGTATAGAACCTTCTAAAGTCGTCCGAGCGATATGACGCCATGCCAGTCAGACCCGAAAGAAATCTCTGATCGGCAAGTCCGGGCACTATGACGGAGCCTTTCCGAGACGGCATCGTCTGGTCCGCTGTCGCCCTCCCGCCTTCGAGAGTCGATATGGGTTTACATGACGATTGGACGTCGTCGTCGAAGAGACTGGACTCGAGATAAGCGAACATTGAAGAGAAAGAAATCCGCGATCCGACGTTTATGAAAATTCTTTTGGATAACCGAAAAAAACGAGATCTGGGAACACCTCATTTTTCTTGATTATCGACTGGGATGGACGCCGGTCTGCTAGTTCGGCCTTAACTGAATGAGATACTCTCGATTCTGATTTACTGCGTGGAGACATTGGAGATGTTTTTCTTTGAGGAGCGGGCTCAGCGCGAGCGCGGAGTTCAGGCGGGAGTCCCGAAACTCGATTTCGAGACGGACTCCTCGTACGACTCGACGCCAAGGCGAGATTCATCCTGCGTCGATCCTCTGCGGAACACGATCTCCCATGCGGACTTACTTATTTCCGAATCATAACAACCTTCCAATGAATGCGAAATTATCTTCCTTTACCACATGATGCATTTGCGCAACGATATTGTAGGATGGAAGTCCCGAGAAGTCTTATCGTTCTTTTCTTCGCTCCGAAAGCCGTAGTTCGAGATTATTGACTGGAGCGCTGTAAGAAAAATCCGTATGATTCCATTGAGTTTCCCCCAGGCCAACGATCACGCGTGTCGATTCATAAGGGTGTAAACGAGCGCAGAGATTATTTCTTAGCGACACTCCGCTCTGTCGGTGCACTCTCCCGTGAAATTCGCTCTCGCTGACTCCGTTCTCGGTCGAACGATGCGGCTCATTTGGGCCCGGAATGATAGCGATTATTTATTTTAGAAGTCTCGCCGTCTAGTTTATTGGATTTGTTGATTGTCGATGGATGAAGAACATGAGCAACGATAATTCTACGAAGTTGTCGGGAAACCCTCTTGGTTTGCGATGGATGATGACCTTCGGAGGGGCATGAGAGAAAAACCTAGGAATCGCCAATCTTTCAAAAAATGAAACACTGATCAAACGTACCGCTTCCGAAAAATGCCATCGAGAGCTCTTCTGCTCGTCGCGGCGAATGGTTCTTTGTGAATTTTCTCACCGTCACGAGTCGTACGACGAATCAGACTATCAAGACTGGATGAGGACTGCAGGATAGTCCCAGGTAATCGGCTTATAGATCCAACGAGGTTTTGGAGATAGAGAGGAGAGCGCCACCGGACGAGGTGGTGGCGCCTGCGAAGGATATCACCGCGCGAAAAAAGTTATTTAACTTGCTCTGTGAGCCGCTCTCGAATAGAAGACTTTGTTTGCTCATGTTCCATCTCTGCAGTCAAGTTGGCTTGGGGAGTAGAAGGACGTACGTGGGAAATGCTCTCTCACATGGATTTTCTCTCGATAAACAAGCGAACTCGCATTGTACTGGAAGCTACGATTGACAGGGACGTGGGAGCCGATTGATAACAAATGTGGATGTCTAACCTGATAGGCTTCCGCCGATCTTGTGCGGCAATCGTTGCGCACGATAGTTAGTTGGATGGAAGGCCTTACGAAGGATTGGATCCGGCCTCAATCCGGATCAGGACAGCTCACGGGCTCTTGTGGCGCTCGTTTTGAGCATTCGTCCCGTATGCGGTCGTTCGACAGGGGATCAGAAGCCTTTCCTCGAGCTTCTCTGAGTTGGTAGCATTCATTATTTGAGATCGTCGGAAGCTGAAAGAACTACGCTTTCGAGAAGCGAACGACTTCTAAACAGACAATGCCCGGGAGCTCTGGAGACCACCGAATTCCCCCCGACGATTGGGCTTGCATCTTTATTCCTCGAGTCCAGCGATGAAGTCCGAGTGTAATGGACAGCTACATCTCTTTTCCGCGAGTTCTGGGCATTTCTCACGGAGCTGACGACCGGCTGTTCCCATATGGTCGGATATGCGGTCCACAACACAGCGGCTCCTCCTCTCGGACGGGGGCGCTATATACGCTCCCGAAAGATTTCACAAACTTCGTCAGGATCACGCCTTGAGACTTCCGGCCTTCCGAAAAGTTCCCGTAGAAGGAAGCATACCCCGATTTGAACACAGAACCCTCGTCTGCCGGAGAAGGGCGACAAGCGGCTCACCTCACACCTCACAGTCAGTCGAGGTCGCGCGGGCTCGACAACCCATTGTGCGTTGCTCGATATTGCCTGTCTCAATAATGTCTCAAAAGACATCGATAGGTGTGGTATCTTGCATCTTCCCTGCGTTCGGGGATTTCCGCTGTTCGCTTCGCTCTCCCTTTTTCGGGCGTATTCAAATATCGGCGCGCGCGACTCAGTGAGGCAATGTCTCATTACGCGGTTCCTTCGAATCCAACGCGATCCAAGCGGCGCAGAAGCTCGCCGATATGAAGCTCTTGGATCAAAGTTTCTGAAATCGAGTCCAATCGAAGGATTCTCTCCAGGCGTAATTTTCCCGACGCGACGATGTCGTTGGGCCGCTGACGCTATTGCTGCTACAGCTCTTGCGGAACGGAAACAATCAGCTGATCGACCACTGGCAAATATAAACAAACCTGACAAACCGCTATCCGGCTTCATGCAGTCTGGAAACAAGTGTTCCTCGCCCAAGCGTTGAACGCTTGCATCATGCTGCGTGGCGTCTACAGCGAAAAAAAACGAGTGCCCGGTCTCTACGGATAATTTTCGGCCTACGATGAGCTCTCGGACTCGTGAGCTCGGGCCACTCTGGATATTCTGTTCCACACGCTTCATGGTCTCGGCATATTCGTTCGCCATACGCTGAATCGAAATGGTGAGTATTCTCAGGAAGAGAGGAGCTGTCCCCAACCTTAGCGATGTTCCGGGATTTGTTCCCAATGTTTGGTCCGCGGGAGTTTCCCCGCGAAAATCTTGGTGCATTTTGCGCATCATCTGACTCTAAGAGTCAGCTGGAACTTCCAACGGTCATTGGGTCTTTTCCCCTGATTATCTCCATCTTTCAACGACGAGTACTTTTCCCTGCAGCTCTTGATGATCTCCCGCGACGTTCTGGATATCATCGGATCCCCGGACTGTGAGGCTTTCCTCCTGGCGAAACCGACGTACGACGGTCGGAATCTCTCCGTGGACACTATAGACAAGAAGCCCAGACAGAAGGACCCGTCTTCGTTCGTGGGTGTCGAAAGCTACAGAGCAGAACGATACAAATCCTACGACTTCACGATCGATTCGCGCACTCTCGAAGTGAGGAAGTTCTCGAGGTCGTTCCCTTGCGATCAGCTGTTCATCGTCGAGGACGGCACTCTTTTCGAGCAGCTTGTCGGCCAACCGGAACCCCCGTCTGGCACCCAAGGCTTTCCCGAGCCGGAACCGGGGCCCGTAGGCAGAGGAACCGCTACATACTTGGAACATCATTCAGCTCTAGTGAAATTATCTTTGATTTTGAAAAGACTGACGTTCACGAAGAGTTTATTGCTGGTTCTCCTACTGGACACATTGTTGGGGGCGTGTTTCGGTCATAACGTTTGCGAATGGTGGCCGACAGCCGTTGAAGAAGCGGTTCCAAAAGCACGCACAATTGTCGAATGGCTTCGCAAAGGGACGCCGTTGGGTCTGAAATTGAATCCACAAGTGAACCACGCTCTGGCGAATTTCTTCACTATCCACGTAAATATGTGGGACGTCTACGTCGAGGTGATGTTGCCGTCTTTGCGCACGCTGACGAACGCTGTCACACGAGTCGGCTTCGTTCCGCTGACGGTCCAATGTGCGCTGGTCTGCGACATCATAACGCTATCGACGGTTCACGTCTACTGTTTCTACGGTTACATGTGTAAAATTTACGCGCTGTGGTTGAGCGCTCTATTCGCACTCCTGAGAATTTTCCGCGGTCTGAAATTCAATCCCCTGCGGCAGAGGGTCGATACTCTGACAGACTCTGATCCTGTGATTTTGGGACCGATCATCCTGACGATCGTTGTTTTCCTTCTACCCACCCTATTTATTTATTACGTCATGTTCTCCCTTATGAGGTGCTGCGTGCTCCTGGTCAACTTCACTCTGGGTACGCTGATGCACGATCTTTTCGTGACGACTTTCAACGTTGTCACGACTCTATCACTCGAGCGGGACCTGGATATTCGCCGTACGGAAATAACGAGGGTGAACGAGTTCGCCTTGAAAGCCAGACCCAGTTACTCCCGAGGAACCCGCAAAGCCTTAGCCCGCGGCGTCACGAGGGTCTTCCGATTTAGAGAGCTTCTATCTTTCCTACGGGATCTGTGCGCGGGAAGAATAGTATATCCACTTTGAGACCGTCCCAGAGCGTGAGAAGTTACATTAGTACATTTATCGTGCTAGTTCCTTCGTGGATCTCACTCTTGATCTGTATCCGACCGGGAGGGGGCTGGAATCCAGTTTGTATGAGGCTAGGAATCAAAAATGGCGACCCACTCCTAAACTTTACCATAACGAAAAATGTCCTGGGGGGGGTAGAGCCCCATACACCCCGAGGTGGATACGCTACCTGACCGGATTGATATGAATGAAAATATCCTAGAGTCCTGCGTTTGAGGAACCTGCCAACGAAGGAGCTTTCCCCTTAGAGTCTATGAGAGGCAGGTTTCCCCAGTCTCATGGAGTCTGTGGAATGCGGGGGGTTCCTCATACACGGGACTGGTACGGACCATGAGCAAACGTCACAAAGACTCAGTACAAGATTTTCGTGGACTACAATCTATCACTTCCCCGCAAATAAATGATTTTATTTACATGTTGATGCACGAAGATTCGATGACGTACCAGTCTGCGATAAAAAGGACCGAGACTCCGCGGTTTGGGACAAATATGCCGGCCAGGAGACCTACTAATGAGCTCTGATTTAATTTGTTTCTATCATCTCGTTTCCTTCAATCACGACCATCTACCGAGCATAGCAGATCGTAAATAGCTTCGAAGAACTGTCTCGAATGTTCAGATTGGACCAATATCAAATTTTCTTGTAGGTACGCGTCTTTCTGGATGGCACTGCTACAGTGTACCGCGGCCTGATTGAAGACTTGAGCGAAGAGATTGCGCGACGATGTCTCGGCTTGAGGTGGTATGCCGATCACGAGACTGTAGCCCGGGAAGGTGACCGACGGTGCCGCGACGACCATCGGGAAGAGCGGGGAATCTCTCGACTTGCGAGCAACGTACGCAGCTTGGAGGAAATGAGCAAGGTCTTCGAGAGCCCCAGGTTTTCCGAAGAGTTTCGAGTTCGGAGTGCTCTCTTGGAGAACTGCGTAAAGATAACGACCCGTTGAAGCGATCTGCCGCGTTTCGAGGAAGGTTTGGACTTGTTGGAAAATTGAGATCAATTTCGTCTTCGATGCCTCGATACCCTTTTCGAGGATCTCGATTCGCGACCACGAAAGTGCATCCAGAGCCTTGAAGAAGTCACCTAACGGATCGAAAATATATCTCTTGTCTAAGAATGTTGAAGAAATCCGACATCGAGATGCGCGGAAAAATCGATTTGATCAAGTGCGGTGTTATCTAAGTCACAAACCTTGATCCAAGATGGTGTTCACGGCTGTGGCAACGTCCAATGCATTGAATTTGTGTTTGTAGCCCAAATTCGCCGAGAAACAAAACGCTCCGATTTCGTCCAATGAGTACTTATCGGCCAATTTGAAAATCCATTCTTTGATTGAACTCCTGAAAGTGATGTCCATCGATGCGAATATTTGCTTGCACTGACTCAATGGAACGCCGAGCTCCGCGAGGAACTCATAAATTTTCTTCTGCCCTCTGACGGTCCACATCTTGAAACGACAGGCGAAGTGTTGAGTGTGTCGCATGCTCTCTAGGAGAGTCCAGTGTTTGAGGAAGATGAGATTCAATTCCTTGTCGAAAGATAACTTGAGTGAGTTCACATTCGACTCTGAGGAGTTCTGGTCGTATAGTTGATCATGTCGCGTCATGTGTCCCTGGAGGAGACCGCATTCGGTCACGTATTTATCCGACTCGATGCGCCGATGTACGAGCTGATCACTGAGACCAATGATCGCATACCAGAGGATTACTGTCGAGTCGCGGGACATTTTCCAGCAGAGCTCGAACATTGTCAAGGAGGTCGCCTTGCCGAAGTAGTTGAACTGCGTATAATCGAAGAGCAGTCGGTTCCTGTTTTCGATCCAAGCGCGTTTCTGTCGTTTTCGTTCGAGAATTTCATCGAGGTCCCTTCCTTCTTCCTCCTCTTCTTCTGCGTCGGAGTCCATGTCGTCGCGGAAAACATCCTCAAATCCCGGGATGTTCTCGTTCTCAGTCGGGCTCAGAATTCTCACTTGGGAGTTGTTATAGACATTGTACACGTTGAAAGGTCGATGCGCATCGGCAATGAAGAACACCAAGTTTTCGTTCTCGGGTTTGCAGTCCTCGAGTATGTCGAATGTCCCTCCGCAGTTGAGCAGAACGACATAGCGTCCGGTCTCACCGTGCTTCTCGAGAGCTTCGGTTATGTCCTGCTTCCGAGTGACAGGAACCAAAGTGTAGAGGATATTATCGCATTGGAAAAGATATTGCAGGATTTTACATGAAACCAAAGCGTCGACATCTGCACCACACAAAACTAAGACTCGCTGATTCACTAGGACATCGTAGAACTCTGTCTTCAGATCCTGGACGAACATGATGGTATCAGCTGTTCATGCTCCCAACGAAATGCGTTGCTTGCGAGTCGCAGTTTTCTATAAACGCTCGAGTTCTGCGAATTGCTGTCGTCCCGCTCAGGTGGTTGTCGTCGCGGGTCGCGGAGCAGTTTGGCGCCATCAACAAACCGTCAAAACAGAGACGACAAGACGACGACAGTTCCCACACCCGATCGATCGACGACCCTTCCTCGACGAACTCCGCGGCTACCCGTCGATCTGCCGTGCGGTTCGTAGGAGCGTAATGGACACTTATCCAATCCGTGAGGTTGAGTCGAGGAAGCCTCGCCAAGATTAATAGATACGAATCTGCAAGTCCTCCGGAGCGCTACCTCGACGTTTTGGGATCACTTCATCATCGCTTGTTTATTATCGTGGGTTTTTTGAACAGAACCTCGAGATGGCAGTAGAACCGCCGGCTGCTGCAAGGAGCGCGGAATGTTGATACTTCTGCTGCTGACATAGAATCGAAGTTTCCATTCTTCTGCCGGCGCCCAAGTATCGGTCATTTCTTCGCGGCATCCAGCTCATTGGAGCGGTGTCGGCCTGTCTCGTTTGTCATCAGATCTCACAGAGAGATCTCACATCGACGAGGATGATTTCTTCGTAAGTTTCAGGACCTAATGATCGCTACTAACAATCGAAAACTTCGAGAAACCGTGGTCCCAGAAATTCCAAGAGGACATTCATTCCTCTGTATCGGGAACACTGTATTTTCGAGTGCGTCTTCCCTGCTCCTGAGTGCCTGAGGACTGTGGTTCTGAGATGATAGAGCCGGTATGGCCAGGAGGGAGCCGCCTGGAACTAGCCCGGCAACTCTCAACGAGTCGACCTCGAGCGACTTGAAGCTTCCGAATAGAGATTTCCGCGGAATTCGTGGAAGGGAAGGCGGCCCCCTCCGTTCATCGACCTCGTGGAATTGAGGGAATCTCCGAGCGTGAGGGCTCTGTTCCTATCAATTGGACTCAACAGGTAGCAAGGGATCTTGCTCGCTCAATGTCAGAGCTCATTCAGAATCTTGGGTCTCGATTCCAGAACACCGCGGCAGAATAGACGCGCCCAGACACCCGATCATGAAAGGTCGGTATATTCGACGTTATTCCCGACAACACCGACGTCATCGCGAACAAATCGCGGGCCCATCGACAATTCCATTAGCGGTAATTATCAGCATGTTCTCGCTGTTCACCACAAGAAAATCTCGAGGGATATCCGATCCACGATATCATACTTATCAAAGATACATACATGAATGCTCATATATTTCCTAAGGGAGAGCGAGTGCGCTAATTGGGACCCCATTTGCAGAATACACCGTGAATCTGGCCGCTTTGGAGAGCACTGCCCAAACGCTTAACACTTCGATCAAGGATAAGCAGGCCCCGGCATCCCGAGGTACCGAGCTTGTGAATTCATCCCGACTACGTTGAGATTTCTTTCCTAAATTGACCCATAAGCTCATCAACCACTTATGGGAGTGATATTTCCCCCGGTTTCGGCTGATGATTGCCTAATGGTCGATCTTTCTGTTTCTCGATCAAATTAGAGGCCCACAGAGAATTCTGCGACGCCCAGTACGCGATGGGCAGGAACGAGTCTTTCCTGATCGACCCCATACCCCTCATCGAGCGCTACTCCAAGCTTAGCGCAGAAGTTGAGGATAAGCTCCAAGGCAGAGCTCCGGAGATACGAGACCTGAACAAATTTTTCCACAAAGAGAAATACACCTGGACTTTGGCTTGGGCTCTGTTGAACGCGGCACAGGTGCGATGAGGACTTCCGGTTCATTCTCATTCCGTATGAGCGGCTCTATTACCCCCGGGAGGGACCGAACCACGCTTGACCGTTGAGATCTAAATCGTCCTTACGTCTCCGCAGGGTGGAGATACCGATATAGATGTAGATTACCACATGCGGCTTCCTGCGTCTGACGCAGAAGAAATCGAGGATCTTTTCGATTCTTCATGTGCGTTCAGGATGGCTCAGACTCTCGTGGATTGGCTCGAGAAAAGATACGAAGAGGAGAAATGTTCCTCCAATACGGCCTCCCTGCACGCGTTCAAGTAAGAATTGGTCGTCCCGTCGTCGAGAGCTATCGGTGCTACCCACAGGCTAGGCATGTCGAGAGCGCTACTGAATTTCCGCGGGTTGCGGTGGCCTGATCCTCGACATCGCATGCCATTCCCACAGCGTATCAGCCTCTCCTCGACGCGAAGGTGTTCACGACGGAATCAAAACTAATTTTCTGATTCAAGGGAGAGCGGCGGAATGTACGAGGCAACGAGACAGGGTCTGGCAAAAGGCAAAGGATCACCTGGCTCGATCACGGAGCTCGATCCGGATGCTCCTCTACGACAAAATCGGGCCTTCCATGACCAGGACGTAGAAGACGAGCAAAGGCTCTTCAGATGTGTATTTGAACTCGTCCGGGCTGGAAACTTCCCCAAAGCTCAGAAACTAGCCATGGGACAAGGCTATTTCATGCTGGCCGCGGGAATGCAAGGCTGGATGGCCTTCCGAGGGAATATAAGAGGTTGGTTGGCTGCGCGAAAGAAGCTCCCGCTCTCTACGGATACCGGTGAATCGGGAATACACTAACAGGAATTACGTTGCGAATCGAGCGAAAAGATTCCGTCAGATCCATCTTCTAGGCCCTGACATTGAGAGCTTTGCTTTGCAGACGATAGCGGCGCTCTTTTACCTGATGAGGGCAATCCATACCGAGACGTGTGGAAAATCGTCGTTTGGAAGAAGTTGAACGACGAGCGCGTCAGTGTGCCTGAGAGAGCCATCTACGCGGCCCTCTGCGGGAACCTCGAAATGTTGCTCCCGATGTGCCCTACTTGGGAAGATCAACTTTGGGCTCACTTGAAAACACTGGTAGACGTTGCCATCGAGCTTCATCTCCGGAATGCTCGCGGAGCTGATCTGGGACCGCTCCCAGATGACTATCCTAAGGAGAACGAGACACTCCAGCAGATTCTCAGGTGATTCAAAATGAAAGAATTCTCATCCGAGGGAGGAAGTTTGTCCCTTCCGGAACGACCAGGACCGGGAATGGATTTCGCTTTGTTTTGTATTCGATTGACTTTTTGCTCATCTCCTCAGTGGTCTTGAAGCCCGGGTCGAGCTCGAAGGGCAGGATTTCTTCCGTCAAATCCACAAGTTCCTGATGCTTCAAGATGTCGACGGTCTCATAGATTTTATGTATAATTTTTGCGTTGAGATCTCTGATGTCGAAAATCACGGGAGTCTACCGGGTCATCACTTGAGACTCATGGCGAACTTGGCCCTGTTCCTCAAGTACAGCAGGAACCTACAACAAAGCGTCGAGAAGATCGATTTGATTGGTGAGCACCCTATTCCTTGTAATTCGCCTCAGACATAATTTCGAGTCCTGATTTTTGCGTTCTCTAATCGCCCCTTCTTCTCCGTTCCCCAGTGGCATTCTATGTACAGAGATTGATCGATGAAGAGATTTTTGATATAGTCCCCAAATATGTTTTGCACCTCCCCGATGTTCTTCGGGAAACGTGCTATCTGAGGTTATTGACTGTTCTGCAAGATTTGACCGAGAAAGAGCGCTTGGACATAATCCTGGCGGCTCAAAGGCAGGATATAGCCATTTTCAAATACATCATGAAATTCGTATACGATGCCATACACTGCGGGAATGACAATGCCGAAGCACGTGACGAAGTGACTGGGGAAGATCTCGAGAAGAATGATGCATTAAAGTGGCTCTTCGCGCGTGAGTATTCATTTTCAGACAGGAATCGCCCACACTCGTATTCAAGTTCCCTCGCAGGAGCAGATACTGATATTGTCGATTCGCGTTCCTCTTCCAGAGCCGGGCCACTCCCTGTTGGGCATGAAATACGTGAACTCGGCTCTCAGAAACGCGATCATGAAGCAGAGACCGTCCGTGGCACGGAGCATAATCGCCCTGGTGCCACAGGATAGCGTACGAGAACTAGCCGCCATGGCCGTCCAGACCGAGAGGGATTCGATGACCTCCGCGAGGGATGATTCGGTGATGTCCGTCGGGGGGATGATTCAGGTAGGGCGGCTCTCATCCAGCGCATCTACCCGACTCGGAATCTTTGTCGAGCTGTGAGAAAACGCTAGTATTTAGGTAATAAAAATCAAATATATTATTTCAGCCGGATTCTGACGGAGACGAAAACATGGGTTATCCGACACGTACGCCTGTCGACGACGTCGAGGCCAAAACTGGCGAGTACAAGAAGTGTCTGAAAGAGTACTTGTGTGCTCAGGTCAGTAGGCTGGTGGAATCGATTGAGCTTGCTCTTGGAGCTTGGAAAACTCGTGAAATCCTGATACGTGTTCTGACACGAATTTCACCTCCCGCAGGAATATCTGGAGGCCTTGCAGTCATTCAATGAGTGGTTCCAACACTATCACAGAGAGAGACCGGTGGAGAGCGTCGCTGCGAACACGGACGCTTCATCGGCGCGAGGCGCGGTAAGTCTTATAAGGCGCTCGAAGCATACCCAGGGTCTTGAGGGCCAGAGCGCGAATCAATTCGAGAACCCAATAATTCTTTTCTGTTCTCCCCCCCAGCTCTCCAATGAATTCGCGAAACGAGCTCTGGCTTCTAAGATGGAGACTTGGAAAGCTACTTTGGGAGGCTTGTGCGACAGAGCCTCACGCCATCTCAAGTGTATACTCAATTATCCCGACGGGGGCTGGATGTGCGATCCTAGCGACGAAATCGTTGACGATGACATCGAGATGGATGCTAGCCTCGAGTTTGAGTCCCGTCGTCGGAAGGAACTTCAGGCGCTCCGTCGTATCTGCATCCCGCAGGTGATTGCTCACTCTAGTTGATTCTTTCCGAATTCTTCCGGATCATCAACTTCGCGATAAGAATTGCGTTCATCATGGTTCCTCATCAGGTCGAATCATTATTGTGTCTCGCAGGTAACCTCGCTCTTGCAAACTGTGCTGCACGGCACAGGACGCTACGCCGAGTCGATGGCGATCGCGAATCTCATCGCACATGAAGACAGCTGTTTGTACAATGAGTTCTCGAAGGATGACCTTGCCCAGTTCCTCGTGAAAGTTCAAGAAAGCGCAGTGGAGCTGCTTAAAGTCCCCGGTAACATGGATCCTTATGGAATGGGTGAAATCTGAGTCTGTCGCTCCGGGACCATCAATTTCCAGACTCATGTACAAAGAGATTGTTCGCCGCGTTTGGATGACCTTGTCGTTTATAATCACTTACAAGTGTTTCTCAGCGAAAACTTTCTTATCACAAATAATACAGCTCAGATCGAATGTATGTATTCATTTGGGTACATCTTCTCATTACCTTGTTTCATGCCGGATCCATCTCCCACCAGGGAATCGAGTGAATCCCATGCACTCCATTCAGCATCGGTCATGGCTCTGACTCCGAAAAACTCATTCCGTTTTGAAGTTTATCTCTCGAAGCATAACGATGAATCCATAGGAAGTTCGGCTTCGGCCAACCGCCGAAGCATACAGATGGCGAGCGCTTCGCTCACGCGGAATACCGCCGACTATCTTTGTCTTTGAGGAGCGAGAATCAGGATACCTCCGGGCATAAAACTCAAACTTTCGAGGCGAAAATCTTTTTGCGGTGACCCGGGTCTCGCTCGAAGACGCCGCGCGGTCATACCCAGGGGACAGTCCTAGACTCCGATGATGGCTTCTTTCAGATCACTCTATTGTGTTGAGGCGAATGAGGAGCCTCTACACTAGTATTCTGTGCAGAATGTTCTCCTCCTCATCATCAGCTCTGAGGGAGAGGACTTTTACGACTGCAGAATCCCTACATCGGCCCTGAGAGATGTGGCTTCCGAGAGTTTCCCTCAGAACAGACTGATACTTCGCCTGAGCTAACACATGCCGAGGAATATTCCCGCAGGAATCTCGGGAGCGCTACAAGTTCTCTCACTTTTAATATCCTCAATGAAACTTCCCCCGTGAGCCGCTATCGAAAGGCTTAGAACTGAGCAGGATTGTTCTTGCGCTGGAATCAGTCCCCCTCAACTCTTCGCCCCTTCCCCCAGTATATCTAAATCTTAGGTTCCCGAGCTTCAAGATCTCCGCGGGATTTCGAGAAGCATACTCAGTCTCAGAACCCGCGGAGAGCTGCAAATTTTCAGAGCGATGAATGACACTAATCTCTGCTATCGGAGCTCCACCATATCATGATTGGAGCGGCACATCTCCTGATTCCACATCAATAGGGCGGCTAGGACGGCAGAGGCAGGCGAGGGAAGACAGAAATTTCCGTTATCCGGTCAGGTCTGAGGCGGAATCGGCTGCACAAACGGTCTGGGGCGACCCTCTTTCGGCAGAGCTCTCGCACGAATGAACCTCGACCTGAGAATTTTTAGAGCTCCAATGGCAGAGCCATAACAGCGAGAGAATCAGGTGTGGGAATGCTCGGGATAAGAAGTTCGGAAATCGCCGGAGTTATGATCCCAGAGCATAGATCTTCACAAGATGATTCTCGGGCTCCTTTACGAAGATGTTTGAGGCGTCGACCTTCGAAGAAGCTAGGACGTCCAAACTCACCCGACTCAGCTCCTCTTCCAGCACCAGTGACTTCTTGAAACAAGTCAACGACAAGACGGGACTGCAAATTACATCGATCATCACCGAGCAATACAGGGGCGCTTTCAATAGAGTCGCCAGCCGCTATAACATGCCCTAGACCTCAGGTTCATGCTGAATCTCGGCTCATAACGAGGAAGCAAAATCAGGCAACAGGCGACGGACGGAAATCAATAAATCACGACTAACTGGAAATATCTGCTTCGCTGTTGCATACGTCAGGGATCTCCGTCGAGATTGGCAGCCAGCTCTCAAGAGCCACCGGAAGTCCCAAATCCGCCGATCGGAATCTTGAGCGGAGCCATAGAAATAGAAGCGATGCGAGATACTTGATCTTATTGATTCTTACGACCTCGAAGCTAAGTAACGAGTCGTCCTGTAGGTGTGAGACCATAATCCGCTATTTGTCCAATTCACTCGCCCTCAATGGTCTGTGTAGTGGCGTCAGGGGTAATGGAATTTCAAGGCTACGACGACTATCTGGCTGGGGCTTCCGAATTCCGTACAGATGATTTGAGATTCGGCAAAAGCAGGAAACGAGGAATGGAGTGGAACTGACCTGAGTCCGCTCGGATACGCAGGAGAATACAAATAATATACTAACGTACAAAGCGGTGCGATGCTGCGGTTATGTCTCGAACTTCGGAATCCTGATGATCGAGCCACGAACAAAAACATGGTCAGTGAATATGCAATGTAAATATTTCGTGTTTTTGCTCCGCTCCGCATGGACTTCTCGTCACATGTAATGCCCGCACGGGGGCCCTCGAGACTGACCACGGAGAGAGAAAAAGATAAAGGTATGTCAAGACTCCAGTGGCGTACGCAGGATTTCTCTTGGGGAAGAGCCCGTATGTGACTGGAATCCGATATGGCGATTCGCTCCAATACCATAGCACTACGAAGGCATCATCTGATAGGGGCTATAGCCCCCTCGTCCCTCCTGCATGTACGCCCCTGCAAGGCGCCGAGCGATAACCGAGGGGAGGGGCTGATATTGGAGAGCTGAGCTCCTATTGGAGTGTCTCTATTAAATAAAAGTTTCCAATCTCCTCGTGAGTTGACTAAGCGTAAAAGAGCTCGTTACGGGGTGGCGAATTTAGCCATCATGTGCCATTTGAGGGCTCGTGCTGACCTTGGCCGTCGCCCTATAGATGGAAGCAAAAACGCTCCCTCCGATTCCCTCCACATGCAGCGCGTTCTTGAGCTGCATGGAATTCTCGATTAAAATCCCGCAACAGCACCCCGCTATTCTCTGAGGGAGGAATCGCACTTGGCCATGGCCGAGAACCAGCCTTCGTAGAGCAAAAATAGAATCTTCGTCGACATAATGAAGCCACCCGCGACACTGAGGAGAACGGGACTCTCGTTCTCATGTTCGACATCAACACTGCTTTGAATCCCTGAATTCAGAGTCTATTTCCTGTCGACTCGGCCGCTAGATTCATTGCATCGATTTAGTTTTGCCTCCAATCGACGCCACAAGGACAGCTCTCAGGTTTGCGCCGTCGGGAGAAGAGTGAAGTCGGGCTCAACGAAGGGGAGCGGACGCGGCGACGCGACCCACGGCTGCGAGCGCCAATGCTCCTCCCGATTGAAAATCCCGCTATCTGCCGGAATTATCTACTCATTCCCACGAGGACACAATTTCGCATTCGTTTCCAATTTGCTGTGAGTTTCTTGTCGTACATCCCAGGACTCTGCGGGTAAACCCCGGGTATCTCTCCCTCAATATTAGCTTAATCATGCCTGCTTGCAAACGTCGTCGGCTTCGCCTCCGCAAAGTTCGACTCCAGCTCCCAAAAGAGTTCTGTGGTCCATTTCATTCCTCTACAGCGCAGCGGCGTCGTTTCATGGTCCTCCGAAAACCTGTTGGATTCAATCCCAGGAGCCCATGGTCCCAGTCCTAATCATGGCACACCCGCAACCTCCTCACGGACGTTCAAACGTCAAATCGATGTAAAATTCCATAAGGACAGATGAGACCCAGACCAGTCTGGCGTCATGCTTGTGAAAGCTCGATACCTTTGCCCCCATTCACTCGGAATCCAAAGAGCGATAAGAAACACCGAGTTTATCCATGTCTCAACGCATGGTAAAGATTCGGCGTTGAGCTTCCGAAATCTCAGGATATGTAACATCTAAGCTTCGAACAGTGCTCGGAGAGACTCAAAGACAGATCGAGTCTTATCACGAAAACGCAGCCTGTGCTCCCTCCCATGGAGATTAAGAAAGGGCTGGACTCAGCCCTCCGGGGCGATGGGCTCTTAATCCCCGGGTAGATCTTAATCCGGTCATCCTGTAGACACTATAAAGAGCCGGCCCCGAATCAGACCTTTCATCGGAAGCGGAAATAGAAAAGATTCGACTCAGCAGTGAGTGAAACTGCGGGGCAACCTCGCAACTCTCCTCCCCTTCATCACTCTTGTTCGCGAACTCTCGACTTCCTCGTAAGATGAAGAGCTCGGTCTTAATGGATCGTCATATCTTGCAGATCGGAAACTTCCTCAGCGATGGCACGAACCTTCTTGAAAGTAGCCGCCCTGGTGGCTCTAGCCTCCATCTGTCAAGCGGTCCCCACTTTTGATGCAAAGGCCTACATGGATGGGATTCTGGAGGAGATGAGCGTCCAGGTAGGTTTCGACGGCACGAGTTGGAGAGATTGCGAGCAGCAACTGTAGGAGTAGTATGCATGGAGACTATCAGCTGATTTTCCCATGGAATGACCTCACTGACGAGCCCTTTCCCGCAGGCTCGAAGACAGGATCTGGACCCCGTCCCAGCGCATAATTTCCAGGTCCACCTCGAGGCCACTGGTGAGTGTATTGGATGATTGGAATCAATTCGGGGGTAGATTGGCCGGAATATCATGGAGGGATAGCTTAAATCGATGGATTTCGACGAACTATTCACAGGCACGAAGCCCCATGTCGTCGCGAGGTTCCATGAAGGTTCCTTCGAGGGCCTGGGCAGCATTTCCACGGCGGGCCGTTGTAACTTCGCGCGCGTGAACACTGAGGGGACGAAAATGCAGAGGGTCTGGTGTTATGTCTCGCTGGCGAACATCAAGCTCACAATGAGGGCTTTTGTCGAGGTAAATTGACTGGATGAGTTATCGAACTCCCGCAGAAATCGCTCTCGATCAGATCCGTTTCGAATGAGCAAGGTTCGAAATTCCAGGAGATCATGGGTCGCGAGTTGGGAACTATCACGGCAGAAACCCAAACTGGTCCCGAAGTCCTCGGGCTGATCGAAATCGAGAAACTCAATGGAAAAGTCAGTGTCAGAGTCATCGACCCTCCCGATTTCGATCTTACTACCAAGATCGTCCAGGGAGAACTTCCCGTCGACTCTCACAGGTTTGCTTCTATGAACAATACCACAGATTCCGACAAGTCGTCTCTATTCGGTACCGGAAGATCTAATCCCCTTTTCGTCTTCTTAGGTACGCGGATTTCGAAAGACAAGTCGACCAGGAGGTCTCTGAACAGTTATCTCATTTCCTGAAGAATGCATACACGCGCCTCCTGACCACCGTCGTCGAGCGCTCCGATTCATCGTAGGGAAATTGATCGTCCGACGCTTCTGACCTTACTCTTTCAAAATGAAATAAAAGAGGCACGCCTCCCTAATTGCATTGAGAAACATTGTGTCGAATCCATCATTTCCTGACGCTGATAAGGTCCCATGTGGTCAGTCGAATCCAGAGTAGGAAGCAATATTGGCCGAATCGAACGATTCCCTTTGGGCTACTATCACGGTCTGTAGTCTAAGATCCCAGGTCGCCCTCCGACGACGGGGAGAGGAATCTCCTGATTCATCCATATGCGCAGCATGAATGCATCGACTGGATGACTTTCAAACGGAGCCGGCGGTCAACTGACCCGCTTGAGCCTCTTCGTCATAACTTTCGCTTCGAGGAAGGAGGGAGCTCACGCCTGGTCCGAGATGGCCATCAGGGACCCGAACTCGGTTTTGATGAAGCCATCACCTAGGTAGTAGGGATGATTCCAAATGCTCCGGATTCCTTCCGTATACTGTGTGGTCTGGGGGAGAAACGATTGCCGCGGAATTCGTGAGATCGCAAAGCCCTGATCGCACTGCTCACCGCTCTTACCAAGGTCACTGACTTCAGAGCCACGAACTCAGCTCCCTGAGACGGTGATTCGTGCACGCTCTCGATCAGATTTGAGGGTGTTCCCAGTCTCTTCGCGGAGCGCCGCTCCTTCTACGCGCTATGAATACGGCGCCCTTAAACGCGATCTTGAAAAGCCAAAAAGTCGTTGGCGCTGCCAGGACTAGTAGACCGCCAACTTCGTTCTTCGTGCATTCGCCTGTAAGTCTCCTCATGCACCTATATATCACGTACGAGCGTATCAGGCCCCCGTTCTCTCATACCTTCCGTACGGGTCGGAGGTCTGGAGACCGTGGCGTCACTCGAATCTTTCCAGCAACGCTTCACTGGCCGTGTAGCTCGGAAATGCTAGGTCCCCCTCGACTCCATCTGTCTCCCCACCCTGACCCGAATCCTGGACGAAAAAGATCTCGAGGTTGCAAGGAGGCTCCTTCGCGTATCCTCACCCACCCTCCTCTTCCCGACCCGAAAGACCCACATTCGATATCGTCGACTGTTATTCATACCCCGAGCCAGGAGCAATCTTGTAGCCAACAGCTCTCGATGACGCCCAGCCACGAGACTGAATAGAAACTCTTCTCACCCTGCCCTCTCTGGAGTAATGAACAGAGTACCGGAATCCGAACGGAAAGAGGCGCCCATAAGGTCCCCTTCATAGCACATCGGACAAGCTTTTGAAGTGCTAATGAGGCATCGAGTTGACCGTGGACGCCCGACGAAAAGTCAGTCGTCTCCGTACCGGGAGGTTATTGAGCTGACCGAAGTCGCAGAGCGGCTCGATCAAATATAACATCGTCTTAAATCGTGCGAGCTCGTTCAGGTTCCGCCGGTGGATTGTCCGGCGAACGGTTGTCCGGCGTTGGGCTTTCGGTGTTTTGCGGTACAGCATTGTCTTGCCCTCCTCCATGACTACGGAACACGATTCCACCGCATTCGGAATCGCTCTACTCACTGATTCTGGGGCACATTTCCGGAACGGCGACGTACCACCCGAAATATATCCTAAAAAGCAGAGAGACGTTTTCGCGTCACAAACAGACAGATAGGTCTTGTCAACTACGTCCAGAGTATTGCAACATCTACCGGCAATTGTGCCGTTATGTCCATCGCCCCACGTTCCCCAAGATATCCCGAAATAGCTCGTCTCAATAGTCTGAATGAGTTGTGAACAGGGGGTGTTTGGGACCTAATGCACCGAGATCTAGACCAACGGCTCTCAATGTACGTTCCATTGGACCTTAGGGCTCAATCGACGATTCCTCAGGGATTCAGGCTCGGATTCCTGTGGAACCCCCTCCACTCTCGGCTTTCGGAGGCTTGCGTGGGTTTCATAAACTGATCTCGGTTCCAATCCAATTCATGACTTCACATTCCGTCATTTTCCTTCCCGGTGAATTATTAGAACATTATTATTAGACTTTCATATCTTTATGATGATAGGAATATATATATTAGCCGTGGGGGCGCTCGTAATGACATCTCAGTGCGAAGGCTTAACTTGCTTTGAGAAGAAAATAAAAAATCGAATAGGCTCTCCTTGCCGAAAAATACTTGATTGCCTAAAAATGCCGATAACTGGAGAAACACGGGAATGTTGCGGGGAGCATGGGTCTAAGCAGCTCAAAAAATATATATTCACCAGGCTGAGGTGATTGAGCATCTAGAGCAAGTTAGAAATCTGCTCGAAAAGGGCAGGCGTCAAAAACAGGTCCGGTGATAGACAGACGTAGCGATATCACTCCATAGGGAGATTAGAGAGCCATAGAGATTCCATTTCTTCTACGGTTCTACGGTGCGAGCATTCCCATGCCCTTCCGCGAAGCTTCCGGATTAACTCGTGCGACCTTATCGCTAGACATCCGCTATATGTTTACAACTTCCTGAGCATTTGACCGGTGTAAATCGTCCACAGACACAGATTAGACTAAACTAAATCTCGCGTCATACTTGGCATACATGGAGGAATGGCGTCAATCGATGGATCTCGATGAATCATTCACAGGCACGGAGTTCCATGTCGTCGCGAGCTCCCATGATGGTTCCTACGAGTTGGGAACGATTACGGCGGGAACCCAAACTGGTCCAGGAGTCCTTGCTCTGATTGAAATCCAGAAACTCGATGGAATACTCAGCGTCAACGTTGTCGATCCGACCAGTTTCTATCTGTCTACCAAAGTCGTCCAGGGAGAACTTCCCATCGACTCTCTCAGGTTTGCTCCTATGAACAATACCTCAGATTCGGACGTGTCGTCCCTTCCCCTTACCGAAAAATCTAATTCTATTCCCGTCCCCGTAGGTACGCGGAGGTCGAGAACAAGTCGACCAGGAGGTCTCTGAACAGTTATCCCGTTTCTTGAAGAATCCATACACGCGCGTCTTCACCATCGTTGTCGAGCGCACCGATTTCGCTTAGATGGATTCCCGGCTGATCTTCCGACACCTCTGTCCATACTTCCCTCCCTTGGAATAAAAAAGGGACTCGCATTGAGAAACTGGCGACTTTGTTGATTCTATCTTATTCTGTTGCTGATTGTTTCAAACCCCTCCACAGATGGGCTTCTATAGAGAGGGGCTTCGATTAAATTTTCGACCCCTGTACCGGGGGGCTCCTATGAAAAAAGGGCCTCCCTCGATTCTTACCGGCATTTCTCATGAAGGAGGTTCCATGGGAATCGCACAATTGAAGTATACACGGGAGCGTGCAGAGACTCCAGTAAGCAAAATTTGATTCGAATCCTCCCACAGGGGGTCTTCTATCGGAGAGGGGCTTGAGTCGGGATATTCCCAGTAATTTTCATCTGTAGTGAGTCTCTGGGCGGCCTCCGGAGCAAAGCCAAGTCTCATTTGCGTATTGTGAGACTGTTCGGCACACACGAAGCTCAGCGATAAAGGCTGTATCTAGGATCATGACGATGTAGTGAGTCTAAATCCACATGATGTCCATGAATACTCACCACCCTCTATTGTCCGCTCGACTGTCATCATAATTTTCTCTCCACGCCGGAACGCTCCCGGCTCGAAATGGACATTCAAGAAAATACTTTTGGCTCAATGAAGCCCTTTTAAAAAACCGAACAAGGATCATGTTCAACTCCCCGAAGACCGCGACTGATGTCTCATCGGTTATAACCTGCGCCGGAGATTCCCCCTAACATCCACCGTTCTTATGGTCAGACAAACCTTTCATTTCAGACACGAATGTTTACCTCGTGCATGGTCGCGAGTCGCGACACGCTCCCACGCGAAGCGCCTCTCGAAACCCCGCACGAAATGACAGAAATGAGTGGAGGGTTGCTAGCCCCGATCCACAGGGAAGGTCATTAGAGGCGCAGGAAACTGACAAACGGAGCTTCCAGAGCCGGCCGATGCAAATTCGAGACCGCAGCGGGAGCGGCCGGCCGAAGGGTTCGAAAATCCTTGCTTCCGGCGTCTAGTCAAGTCGCCGTCCATCAAAAATCATGTTATCAAGCTCTCTCTACTGCCTTTCCTCGCAAATATCCACCGCAGGGACCTAGCAGCCAAGGCCGAAACATGCGGAATGAAGATAACAGCCAGTCGGGGGGGGGGGGGGAGGTGACAGCATTTCCAATGTGTCGGCGCGCAAAATTCCGCTCCGATCTTATCGGACGTTCGTCTTCATCTTTCAAACTGCGGGAGAGGCTGCACCATGCTGTGGAGAATTAAGCTCGTCGATGATGTGGAGAATGGATGAATGGCCAGCCGGGCGATCACTCTGATCCTCACAGCGTCCCTCCTCGTCCCATCGCTCCTGCTCGTTACACCCTCTGGTTCTCCGGGGCAGGGCTTCGCATCATGATATTACTGTGCAGAACCTTTTGGGCCGATAAATTCGTGAATGAGGGATGATAATTCAGACGCGAAGGGCTTGACCTGCGGGAATTGCGGCTCTTGTGCTGCTCTGAAAATCGCGATTCGCGACACATCTCTCCGGCAGCAGCAGACGCCAAAACATGGACGAAAAAGATGGATCATCCTCATTCCAGCAGACTTTAATCAGATTTGATCATAGCTCGGATTCCATGGAATGTTGATTGGGCTATGGATTGTATCTTGTCAGGCATGACAATGAATCCCATCGCACCTCGGGCCTCGGCTTGGGTCGGAGGGAGCTCGATCACGAATGCATTGCGGGCACCGTGTTCGTATGCCCAGTCCACGGAAGACCCAGTCACAGCATCTGGAAATGTAGCGATCAAGAAGTGGAGTAGAAAGCAATCGCTATTTCTTCATGGGCAGTTCGCTCCCGGCATGTGACCTGTTTCGAAGGGGATCGAGTCGCACTTACACAGAGTTTGCGCTATCGGTCCGACAGTGTAATTTTTCCCAGACATCTCGCGAATGGCTCGAGCCCCGGCAGACGCCTTACGGTGGAATCGTTCGTGATCCTTAGCATCCTCAGTCGTGTATGAGTGAGGGTACATCCATAACTGACCTGTTCGGTGTCGTTGAATTGCTTTCTTTAACTTTTTGTTGGAGTTCTCGCCAATCGCTTGGCCGAGAAGGAATCGCCAGCTAGCCATACCGAACGGATTCTTAGCTCCGGCTTGTCCGTCATGGGCTTCGGCCTCGAGTCTTGCTTACCGTAGGCGTGTAGCGAAATATAGTAATGAAGACGGTCCTGGACTACGAGGATCGCGTTCTTCAATGCATGTGACTCCGGCTCAGAGAACGGGGAATCTCCACAGTATTCCTCATTGCAAGGATCTTGACTCGTTCCGGGTCCTTGAAGGGGAAGATCAGAAATTGTTCATATGCTAGTACACCGGCGAAGTTCCGAGGACGCGACGCCGACGGCTGATCCCTTGATTAGAGTTCTCCTCACCGCAGAATTCACCGACGTCGAAGTTTCTGTTGATGTCTACACCCTTGCATCGCGGATTCTTCTCGCTGGGTCTAAGGTTCCCTCTCCAGAATCGGTGCTGAAAAAAGGCTCGAGATTTCTGACGAGCACTAGCTGAAATCGGCTACAAAGGTGGACGCTCATGGACTTAGTGGACGCAAACACATCCCTTTCGAAGAACGGATTTCCTTCAGGGTCACGGTGATAATTGATAATGAAGCGTGAACTCAACAGTTTTGGTGTATTCGTATCCGTCTGGGTTTGCGGACGGCACGATGCGAACTTCGTAAACGTCGAGAATGTCACGATATTTCGCAGCATTGGAGGAAAACTCGTGGATCATCCATGCACAGGTGGTGATCGAGATCCACTCTCGAGGATGGATTCCGCATTCGAAAAAAATCACGGCCTTGTCTTCGGAGTGTCCCCTATTGAACTGGAAGTCGGAGCTCGGTGCTAAAGACATCAAAAACGCATCCGACGCAGTGCTGTTCGCCGGAATTGTGGTAGAACTCACCCTAACTCCCACGATTGGTCGTCCCTGATAGCTTTCCCCGATTATGAATTTGCTGACGTGCTTGCCGCGTAGCGGATCTTTGACGTAGAAGTCTATGTGTTTTAATATTTGCGCGTACGAGGGATAAGAGATGAGATCGAAAGGTCCATCCTCCAGAAGACCATTGCTGAACATTTGCGGACCACCATTCTCACGAGCGAGCAAGCTGAAATAGAATTCATCCTGGCCGGGATATCACGGGCTCGGATCCACGTCTCCCCTCGAATTGCTGTTGAGACAGTCGATGAGGAACTCACGATTGGAGATCCTCCTCAACCACGTAGAAGGGAATCCCGAGTGCTTGCAACCGCTCGCCCACCATCACCACGTCTTCTTGTAGCACCAGGAAATAAAGGGTCGAAGTCTTCTCCCTCATCAGATCGTTCAAGAAAGCGATCTAAATGAAAAATCGGGAGTGAAGCATCTCCGGGACGCATTCTCCAAAGGATCGCCCGAAGCTCGAGACTCACAGCTCGGACAATGATCAGTGAATATATCTTCGCTTCAAAGAGGAACCTTTCGTTGGCTGCGGAGTTCCAGGAAATCATGATATATCCGGTCGTTGGCAATGACTGAAGAAAAAACTTTCGATCTGGGAAGGATAAGGAGATTCAGACACGCAGCGAAGTGACGGAATTCGCCTCGTCAATTATTGTCGTCTGACATAACTGAGACATACCCTTCATAACCCTGAGCTGACGACAAAGAGGCATCTGATGCATTCTGTTGGCCTCCTACCACGCCAATGAAGAAAACGCCCGTTATTAATAGGCCGAACATGCCGACCGCTGATCCGCCGATATGTGAGATTCTTGCCGTTCCACAGTCTAATATCTCAGCCATACACAATGCCGATTGTGTAAGAAACATGTGTTGCGATTATAGAGCATGCAATCCATATCCGATCGGAAGCATTTTTGGCAGCGGTTTTCTAAGAGGAGTTTGAGAGATTCATGGAATCGGGAGGCGTCACTCTTAGACGGTTCGCCGAGATGAATCTGATCGTACATATGAAACGATAGATCGAGAAGAGCTAATGACATTCGTCGCGCGGAAGGGAAGCTGCGCGATCTCGAGCTGGGAATCTCTCTGGAACGATCCCACGCTGCTGTGCATTGTCGCGGCTGGAGTCCAGCGTTGTCCTTCACAGGGAGGAACGACCTCGGGGCTGAGGGCGGCAGAGAAGGAGCCGATTTCCTTTCACTCGGAAGTCCAGAGATGCTCCCCGGGAGTCCCTTCGAGGAAGTGCGACAGTTTTCCCGAGACGGGCTTCAAAAGGATACGATTCCGACTGAGCAAGTTTTACTCATCCAAAAAAAGCATTCAACCCACCGGGAACCTGGAGTCGCACCGACCGAAGATTCCGGAGCAGCGGAGGAAACAAGAATGACTCCGCTGTGTGCCGTCCATAAGCGCGTGATTAGGAGAAACGCGGCAAGGGCTCGCATTGCGGTGATTCGGAATTCCGTCCTGCTCTTCAGGCGTCCCGATTTTCATCAAAGCGCCGCATTGCGATGGTCTGCTGGGGCTGGATGCGGGAGTTGGTAAAGAGGAATCGATTCCGCCTTCCATTCGATTTCAGTTCCTAATTCCTTAAGATACTGATTCTGGTGGTTCTGGTACGGTGACCGGTGGTGCTTCTTCCCAGTGTCCCTCTGTTCATTGTCATCAATAGTCGGACCCCGCCCATCCTCGTTGAGAGTGTTGGGTAGAAGCCTCAAATCTCCAGGTAGGTCACACAGAACTTCGCGGGAGCTGAGTGCTCCTGGAGATGTTCCATTCGCTCACATCCTGGAATTCCGAGTCCGCTTATATTGATCGTTTGTGGGATATACTCCATCTATCTGCTGCCAACACGGGAGCAGCTCGACTCTCCCGGAGAAACGAATCATGTTCAGTGCCACCGAAGAGGGCGACCGTGCCAATCCCAGTGAGAGAGCAGATGAAACCTAGGTATGCGGGGCAGTGGAAGTTGGAAGGCCTCGGGCTCAAACTCCGTGAGCGACCCCAGTGATATTAAGTCGATCCTCCCAATCACAACCTTTTAAGATTTAGAGCGATCGAGGGGGCTCAAACAGCAAGGCGATCTCTTACCTCTGGGATCCTCTGTCTTCATGGAAGGCTCAATTGGAAGGCCGGAATTTTCACCGGGCCTTTCACCTTGCCTATCGGGTAACGAATCTCCCTAGCTGGTCCCCCTGCTCTTATCATGGGATTGGGTGTCGCATCTATGGAGCATCCGATTGCCTCAGCAAGTGCCAGAACGGCAGCAGCAGGAATCTCTGATTCGGATGACAATGGGTAAGGGTGGCTTTCTGAAGCGGAATCCCTTGCTGCAGCGATTGAGTCAGGGTCGGGACAGACAAACTCGGTATGGCCCGTGGAGACTACCAGAATTTCGAGAGACACCTTGGCATCGCTCGCAACATGGGGAACCCGCTCATCCTTTTCGTGAATGACTCAAGAGTTACACTCTCTTTCCGAATACTTCTGGAGAGACGCTCGAAATCATCTCTGAATCCCCTTCCGATCTCCTGAACGGCGTCCAGCACACCGCAGCCTTTTCACGAAGGGGGAAGATCTCGGTCACTCGGCACGAGCGCCCCGGAAGTTTCTCGCCTCGCGAGCATGGGAGGAACCGAGATGCTTCCGTCTAATTTCATTCGTGACGTGCACTCTGCGGCGGGAAGTCTCTCAGTCCATCCTTTCGTTTCTCCGTCCTGGGGTTCTCGAAACTGCGGAATCGGTCCGAAATCAAACAACACCCACTGCTCCGCCTCATGAAGTCTGAACGCAGGAGGAAGGCTAAAGACGGATCGGGAACGGGGAAGAATAGAAGGATTGCGAACACAGGGATCCTGTATTCCTGCGGAAAAAACTCCATCAGCTGGACCTTCATGGATCTTGTTGCCGCTATCCTCGATTTCGGGGAAATACAGTTCTTTTTTCGGACGGAGAGTTCCGGAACGGGGAAGTAGAATAAAGGTAGAGCGGTCTCTTGATTTACAACTCTCCCAGAGAATCATCCCGGTGACTCTGAAATTCACGGAGATATGTCGTCCCCGATCGCTGCGAGCTGTAGATTCACGGAGATGACAATCGAACGTGTTCTGGACAGAAAAAAACTGTCCGGGACAGTTGCCCAAACGGGCTGAAAATACAGGATCAGCAGGTTAGGTGAGCCAGGGACAGTTCTTTCCGCGAGGGTCTCGGAAACATCTGGAGGCTCCGGAACTTCCGATACGTCTGATAGCGGAGCGCGACCGACTAAGCTGAAGAATATTGTGGGATTTTACAATATTTACACCACTGCAATATTTATTCGCCACACTTGCCGAGCTTGAGTGGACCGGATGGGAGAGAGCTCTCAGTGATTCCGTTTGCCACATGAAAGGAGCCAGTGCGCGTGCGGACTTTCTTCTCTTGACGACGGAATCTGCTTAGGGGAGATGCTTGCTCAGAGAGAACTGTCAGCTGTGTCTATTCGAGAGGGAATTCTGTGGAAGGGAACAGGGAAAAATTCGGTCTCGGTGGATCTACCTCAATCGACTTCCGATTATTTCCCCCATGGAATCAGCTGTCAGCGCATCGATCGCAGAAATCGACTATGATATCATCGAACCTTTCTGATTCTGAATCAGTCGCCCAGCTTCAGCGCTTCAAGACCACGCAGTGCTCATCGGGATGAACACGGCTGAGTCTCGAATGACCGGGGGCCGTCACTGCCCTCGAGACTTCTTTACTCGAGAGTATCTTCGAGGGTGTCCAATTCACACATCCTTACCATGTCTTCAACTACCCCTGATGCTCTGGTCGCCGGCTCAAGTAGAGCAGCCCCACCCGACTTCCATCTAGCGCGGGACTCGCGCTTCAGTCCTCGACTTTGCTCGGGACACCTTTCGGTCGATATTCTTGAAGGCTATATCGATTATGTAGATTGTCACACAGAATCAGAACATGAATATTTTCGTAGACCTTCGGAACCCCTGTTGTAGAGCGATCCGGCGTGTTCCTAAGTAAGAGTTTTCACCAACTAGCGCTCCTAACAAACATGAGGTCGACATTGCTCGCGGCCGTGACGTACCACGACAGGGTGCATTTGCCGGAAGTTTCCCGGGTAGGCAGCCGACACGGGGCATACAATCGGACGCTCACTCTGCTCGCATATTTCGAGTAGTTTGCTCTTATCAGTCAAGTAAAAACAAATCGGAATCAGATGCGACGGGAGCCCCCATTGCTGGCGGATCCCCCCCTTTTTACGCTCGCTGCGCCAACGACGAGCGCTGACTCACTTTTAGCTAGTGCCGGAGAGCTGCAGGAGGCGCGTCATCATTTCCTTGGAGTGCTCGATGAGTCCAAAAGCGCGATGAGTCTACGCTTCTATGTCAACGCAAGCGCAGTCTGACAAGAGCTCGTCGCGAATAATTTTGGGAGAGAACATCCTTGTATGAACAGTCGCATTGCCACCTGAGATTTCAGCTCATAATTTAATCGCGATCGTGGTTGTTCAGAATCAGCTGTTTCATTCCATCATGAGTGACCGGGACTTCGACGTTGTGGTTTTTGGAGCGACGGGTATGGCAGGTAAGCTGATTCATCGATTGCAGTCAGATGATATTCTTCTCGAAGCCTTCGAATAGGTCAATCGACAATTCATCTGCACTCGGCGTTCAAACGGCTGAACATTTGACAGGTCGCTACTGCATTGAGCAGCTGCACAGGAGCTCCGCAGACAACATCAAGTGGGCTATCGCGGGTCGCAACAGAGCGAGACTCGTAGAGGTTCTCGGAGAGGTGCGTTCCGACTGTGGGATTTCAGTATCTCGACCCATATCTCTCAAATCGTACCTGGATGCGGGGAATGTGGTCGGATCCTCAGGCAGAGAAAACTTACCCCATTGAATCTCATAAAATATCCGTCTTAGGTTTCATCATGGGTCGGAACCGACTTGAGCAAAACTGCCATCATCGAAGCGGACGTATACAGAGCCGAAAGTCTGTCAGAGATGGCCAAGAGAACCCAGTGCATCATCAACACCGTCGGACCTTACACGTGAGGAAACACTCATTAGGCTCTTAATCTCCGTTTCCGGAAGTTCCCGATGTGGATTTTCAATAATATCCCCCGGGAAGATATCTCAATGTGTCGATTTCGTCGATTGCCGAACTAAACATCATGTGGTATTGGGCTTATCCAGTTAGCGGTCCAATAGAACCCGCGCGATGTGGCACCCACGACTCGCCTCGTCTGTTCTCACCTTACTCGTCCCCCGCAGACTGTGGGGAGAGGAAGTCGTTCGAGCCTGCCTAGAGCAACGAACTCATCTGCTCGATCTAAGTGGCGAGCTCCAGTACAACGAAGCTATGCGGAATAAATATCACCGGGAAGCAAAGGAGAAAGGTCCGGGTTCGTCCAAATACCTACCACATTCACTCCCTTTATCCCGTTTACCAGGTCTGAAACGGTTGATTTTAAGTTTCTAGGAGTTATCATCCTCCAAACGAGTGGATTCGATTCGGTACCAGGCGAGATGATTCTGCAATTCGCGAGGGAAAACTTCCCCGGGAATCTCAACACGCTTGAGACATTTGTAACGTTCCGGGAGGGTGACCATGGGGCCGCGGTCAACACAGGTAGTGACAACAATCATTCCAAACAGAATGTTACGTGGGGAAGCCCTCGTTCAAGCGGACCCGACAGAGGAGACTCCCGATATCCTCAATCGATTTCCTCTCTCAGGAACCCTCAATTCGGTGCTTCAAATTTGCAAAAATCTCCGAGCTGTGTCCAAGATAAGGCAGGCAGCGTGGGGCACTGTGTTTGAGCAGCCTTGGCAGGCGGTCGATCACCGGAATCCGCTCTGGTGAGCTATCGACTCAATCTTAAGCGGACGCATACCTGCAAGATCATCTCATATATTATTATCATCATTGTCCGCGGGAGCCGGGCATGAACAAATGACGGATTCGCGCAAGTTCTCGGCCTCATATTATATTCCTCGCAGGTTAATGATTTCTTCACGGGCGGAGGTGCCTGGGTACAACATCCCATTCATTGGGGGCGATAAGCCCGTCCTGAATCATTCCGAATTCTTCCGCCGAGAGGTGAACCCCGATCATAAGAGAGTTCAAATTCAAACCCATTTGTGTGAGTTATATGCGATGTTCGAATCGGGAATGTATGTGGGTCTGAAATATCGAGGATTCACGCCAGACCACTGAAAGTATTCTCTTGCCGCCAGATGACGAGTCGCTGCTCAAGATGTTCGGACTGATGTTCATCTTCATGATCGTGGGATTTCTGTCTCAATTCTCTCTTGGTAGAAAGCTCATCGAAAAGTATCCCTCGTATACCACGCTTGGCATGTTCCGAAAAGGGGGACCGACAAGACAACAGGTCTTGACGTGTGGTTTCACAACTCTCGGTGAGCTTCAGCTGGTCAGCGCCTGACAAGGACGGCCGGGAGTCGCTGAAAAAGGGAAAATTGGCGAAAATAAAAAGCATCCTTCTAAAGCAGAGGTCCTATACAGGCATAGCCGAAGGTTGGCTGCGAGACGAGCCGCGAACGACGAAACCGAAACACAAAATTGTGGTCAGAGTGGACGGACCGGAGGTTGGCTATATGACCACTTCTATCTGCATGGTCCAAACCGCGATCTGTTTGCTGACAGAGAAAGAGTGTCTTCCAATGAAGTGAGTTTTTCGGATTAATCGTCTATGTATCATACGAGTCGGGAGCGAGCCCGTCACATAAGTCGACACTAACTCGCTAATCTTCCAGGGGGGGATACCTGACGCCAGGCTTCGCCCTCGAGAAGTCGACGTTGCTCAAGCGGCTCACCAACAACGGCTTCAAGTTCAGCGTTGTTGAGAAGAATTTCGAGTAGCAGAAATCGCTCGGAGTACTCTCCAGCCCTTGACCTCTTGTTTGGAGGAGGAATGTCTCGTCGGGGATCGCTTTGCGCGTCATCCCATGAAAAAACGCGAACGACGCGACGTCATGAAAATATAATATATATAAAATATGATGAGCATTGATATCGATCGATGTTGATTTCCCCGAATCCAAATATGTAATTCACTCATTCTCACGAAAGATCAGGCTGAATGATTCGCCATCGAGAGACATCTTGACAGTGATCACTATCGATTAAAAGGTGAAAGATCTGACTCAGAAGTGTTCCGTCCCGAAGAGCTCCTCTTCCCCGTCTCAGATGGCTTTTCTCGGAGAGCTTTGCGAGAAATTCTCGGGGTAATGCTCACTAGTTTCCGCCACGCACATTGGGGAACATCAGAGAATATTCTCTGGTCGTGACAGGTGAGAACTCATCATACGAGAGACTCGGCAATCGAAAGGAGTCGATCGCGGCGGCTGATCCAGGCAGGACCCAGTCCCGCGCGCCATGGCCCACGGCTCATCGGAACAAGTCGAGTCTTGTTCGCGTAGATGACAACGCCTCATAATGGTACATACTGCTCTCGGAAGAGCGCCGACGAGTGAAGGGCACGAAGCCCTCAGGGAAAATAAAACTTATTCCGAAGCGTGACTTCTCTCGCCTCGGAGGTTCGGTGTTTTCAAACGTGAAGTTTCTGTCAAATGAAGTCTGTCTCTGCCTTTCTGTGGCTTCCATGCCGGTCCGAGGCTCTGCTCCGGTCTTTGCCTCTCACCAAGAGCGTCGCCAGGTGAGAAAGAGCAGTCTCGGAGCGATTTGTCGAATTCCTGATCTGGCATCAATTCAGATCATGTCACCCATGCTGCTGACCCGCTATCGCGCGCGCCTCAATAGACGACCAATCCTGTTCTCCGTGACTGTGATCATATGATTCTCGGTAGTCCGTCACTTCGGGATCTGAGCACTTCGAGATAGTGCTCTTTGGGATGCGAGAAGGGTTCTATGGACTTCCTATGACCCCAACCTTATCTGACCCCTCGAAGAGGACCCTGCGCCTAATTCCCGGGCGCTCAGAATTCAGAATGGCCCTTGATTTCTTCGTATCGCGATAAACTGCTTCAAGTTATGTACGCGCAGGGTCCCTTGGATGCCTCCTGTTTCCATTGTTTCCGGACGTCCATTCCGAAAGAAGTCGGCCCGACGCCGGAAATCCCCTTTCTCATGTTCAGAAGAGTTCCGAATATATGGAGATCAGAACTAAAGGTTCGCATTGCCTCACAGGAACCAAAGTGTCAGTAGCTATAATGGTTTGATCGGATGCGCATCGTCGGTGTCCGATGGAAAACGCGATGGCATCCTCGGGAGGAGTCCTTCCGGCCGGAACGGCGAGCCGCATGATTATTCCCCGCGGACGTTTGTACGCCGTCAATCGACGGTTGCAGATACGAAACCCGCTGCCGATTCGAAGGTTTGTATAAAGCTCCATCGAGAGCACTACCCAGAGAGCGTATATACTATGAACACCCGGTATGAGATGGGTATCATCACGAGATGCCTCTTTTAGCCCAACGCAGACGATCGAGAGTTCGACATCGTGGTTTTCGGTGCAACCGGTCTAGCTGGTGAGCGGGAGTTCGGCAGTCCGGCAGTCGTCGATTGTATCGCTGTGAAGCTATGAGATGTGTCCTTTTCTTCACGTCATCCAGGGATCCCCATTTCTATTTCCAGGTCGTTACTGTGTCGAACAGCTCCACAAGAGCTCCGCCGATAACATCAAATGGGCTGTAGCGGGTCGCAACAAGTCGAGAATCAACGGGGTCCTGGAAGAGGTCAGTGGCGAAAACGCGGGATCACCTTCTCTGGAGTTCATTTCCCGTCGAACGGCATCCGTTTTGCAGAAATAACTTGAAGGTTACATCTGCTTTACTCGTAGGTCTCGTCATGGGTGGGAAGCGACTTGAACGGGTCAACGGCCGTCATCGGAGCGAACATCGAGAACAATGAATCCCTCGCGGAAATGGCCAAAAGAACCCGGTGCATCATCAACACCGTCGGACCCTACACGTGAGCGTATGGTCGGATACTCCAGTGACTGAGCCTCATTTCCACGGCGTAGAGCGTCGACCCTCCATGAAAACGCTTCCCTTCATTCCAGACCTCATGGGGAGCAAGTGGTCAAAGCTTGTCTAGATCATGGAACTCATTTGCTCGATCTCAGCGGCGAATTACATTACAACGAGAGCATGCGGAACAAATACCACAATGAAGCGAGGGACAAAGGTTTGCTTCGCATGTCCTCATTCCATTCGGGAGACCATCAGCCGCGAGGGCTGGGATGAGATCACCGGTCTGATATCGGAGATTTCAGGGATCGTTCTGCTGCAATCCGCTGGGTTTGGTTCGGTCGCTGGCGAACTTCTCCTCCTATACGCTAAAGAGAACTTCCCGGGACACCTTAACACCCTCGAAACGTTCGCATGTTTCCGGGAAGGCGAACACGGATTCGTGGGTGGGACAGGTAGTTGAAGAACGGAATCCTCGACCATATGGAGAACTCAAAACTCCCCCGTGCTTCATTCTCATTGAGCTCGATGATTCCAGGTACCTTGAACTCCGTGACGCATATCGTCAGAAATCTCACCAAGATGCCCGGTATCCGCAAGCAAGCCTGGAAAAGCGTCTTCAAGCAGCCGTGGCAGCCAGTGAAGTTCCGGAACGGCTTCGGGTGCGTGACGAGGGCTACTCGAAAGCATTTTTAACATTATATTCGATGCATTGGCTGAAATAGATTTCGGTCGGGGCGAGTGGGCTGCATTTCATTCACGGAACGCTCGTTCCAGACTGCCAATAAGCAAGCGGAAGGAGATACCGGGATTGAGCGTGCTCGTGGTGGGGACTGATAAGCCCGTCATGAATCACTCGGAGTTCTTCCGCCGGGAAATAGACCCAAATTACCAGAGAACCCAAATCCAAAATCACTTGTGTACGTATCTGGACGCACATGAAGAACTTCGCCTGAATTATCGCTGATGATTGCTTCCGCATTTCAGATGATGAATCGATAGTCAAGGCGGCCAGACTTGCTGCAGTCCCTGCCGCTGTGGGTGCCCTGTCTCTACTCCCCTTCGGTCGCCGAGAACTTCTGGAGCGTCCGTCCCTCTATACGTTCGGAATGATCGCGGAGGGAGGACCATCTCGTAAACAAGTTCTGACATGCGGCTTCACCATGCTCGGTGAGTACCTACTAGTATCGCTCACTTCAGGCTTTGTAGCAACATGAGTGGCTGAACCCCAACGTGAGGTTGTTCATCTTTTTGAGACAGCTCCAGCACTTGAGTTTCCTGTTCTCTTCCAGGCATTGGTCGAGGATGGCTCCCTAACGAGTCCCGCGACAAAGAACCGACCCATCAAATTGTTGTGAGGCTTGATGGGCCGGAAGTGGGCTACATGAGCACCTCGACATGCTTGGTGCAGAGCGCAATATGTGTCGTCAAAGAGAAGGACTGCATACCGATGGAGTGAGTGACCTAGACCTTAGATCACCTGGCTGATCATGGATGTCGCTCTTCTTTGAGAGGGAGCTTAATTAATTTTCACGTCGGACTCCCATGACACGATCCCTTATCTGCAGGGGAGGTTACCTCACGCCTGGATTCGCCCTGGAGAAGTCCTCGTTGGCGAAGCGAGTCCGTGAGAGAGGCTTCAGATTCAGCGTGGTCGAGAAAACTTTCTGAGAGATCGCAATCAGGCACTTTCACGATGCGAGGATCAAGTCTGTTCGAGAAATCTTCGAACCTAGAAGCAACGTACGAAGGGAAGGTTGAGAGCATCTACCACAAGAGAGAGAAATATTTTTCCGGATCTCGGAGAGCCCGCCGATGAGTTTGATTTTGGCTTGAATTTCGCGAATGAGTCATTATATGGGATACTTAGTGTTTCATGAGCTATGGAGAGCTCTGTGAAATGAACTTAGATATATCTATCCGGAGGAGTTTTGGGCTAATCCGATAATGGAATAAATTGCCAGATCTACGATATATCCCGGGCGCGCTTTCGTGTTTCAATCACTTCGCTCCTGATACCACGTGTGTGTGGGAGAGAAGAGAGAGGGTAAGGGTTGGGAGAGGGCTCGAGACTGTTTTGTTCGAAAAAATACTTCAAGCTTCGGGAACGATCTGGATCAACTTCTTGTTCGCAGCCGGCAGCAAATCATAGAATTTGACCGTAAATTAGCCTCTCTTTCAATACGCTGATGGCGCGATTGTCGCGACCAACTTCATCCCCGTGAGATAGGAGCCTGCCTGCCGAGTGAGGAGAAGTTCTCAACATTGTGATCTGTGTTCGAAGATCCGAGCAAGCGAGGCGAGTCATTAGATTTTAAAGAGTTCTTGTGCCATCGGATCGAATATTTTCACCATGAACACGTTCGGCGCCCTGAAGTATCTCGAAGCGGAGCAGGCAGTCGTAGAAGAAATCGCTCTAAGCCTCAAAGACCAATTGAACAAATTGAAAGTAGAAGAGTTGGCTATCCGTGCGGCAATTCGACGGAAGATGAAGGAAAGCCAGCAGATTCTGACCGACCAGGTACATCAAAGCGGTATTGGTCAGCCGCTGCGAGCCGGTTTTCCGGAACCCTCATTCAATGTAGAGCCGCAGCGGTCCACCAGGCCACCGACTGAAGGGCCGGCTCCATCAATTCTCGACGGTCCTGGATTCTCAGCGCAGGTGAGCTCGCAATATGTATTCCGGAATCAAGTTCTCAAAAGCTCCGGGATCGCAGATCTCAGGACTACTCCCACTGGAAAACCACCGTAATGTCGAACCGATTATCTCAATTTCAGAGCATACCGACGTCGAAGCCTATAGAAGTCTCAATAAACGAGGCACTGGATATGATCAAACGGTATCGTGAGGGCGATCCACTCTCGCGATTGGAAGAAGAAACGATGGACACGTTCGGTGGAGAATCGACAGATCTCGAGGACGCAGAGCTGGAGGCTGAAATCGACGAGGAAACGGAAATGGAGGAGCCAACCACCAACGTAGTGAATCCCGACTTGGAGTTCCTCGATCTACGCCAAGCCGAAACAGATGAGGTCGAAGAATTTTGATGGGAATTTTCGCTACAAATCCCAGTGGAAAGTTCGGAAATGAGATCGTCGGAATCTGTGATATTAGACTGCGCTTCCATATTTGTCGATGTCAGAGGGATTCGCATGCTTCCTGAGTGAAATGGTATGTTTTTGGGGACATGGTTCGTTGCTGGAGCAGCGGTTCAAACCTGAGGAAATAAATAAGGAACTAGAGAAATGGTACATGAAGGACCCATCAATAAATTTCATCCGCCCCAGAATGTCACGAGGAGGGCTCAACCTCTAACTCAGTCGAGGATTATTGCTCTCCGAACGGGTCAAGTCTGCGAGTACCATTGCTAGGAGGAGTCTCTGAAACCTGATTTTTTGTCACTTAATCGGGTCGAAACGAAATCGACATCGATCCCTTAATTTACTGACTTTACATGAGAGATTAGTCCCATATCACCCCTCACTCTTCGGGTACCTCTACGAAGTTGGATCAAGTCTCTTGAAATGACTCGACCGCCTTCCCGGACCTTCATCATACGGACGTGAAGCGGTCCTTGAGAGTGCCGTTTCGCGGCCCATGGTCGCCGCTATTAATTTCTGAGGGTGCTTTATGAAATATTGGGGAGCATTCATCGCAGGTAGGGAGAACTACTATATCAATAGTTCATCGCAGGTAGGAAGGACTACCATATCAATAGTTCGTTTACCTGTTTCAATATCGTGTCATATTGTGACACTGCTCCCGGGAACCGGGAATATCTCTGTTCATCTACAGTTCAACAGGGAATCTTCCATGTCGGAAGAGCACGAAAATCCGAATTCCGGTCGGGATTTCGCTTCATTCTCGTGTTCCGGACCGTAGGAGTAAAGTTATTGTTCTTCTCGCAAGTCCGGAACCGTCTGATAACTCATTCGGGAACGAGGAAGGACAGGTCGAAACGGAATGTCCCACTCTGAGTGCGTAATGTTTGACCATGGACGATCGTCAACCATTTTTGATGGGCTTCCCGTGTGGCATACCTTACTCATCGTCAGTCTGATAGCGAGGCACCCGGAACTCTCTTTTCGGAGCTCCCAGACTTCCGTCATCAAGATCGGTAGGGGCCGAGATTCGGAGAGCTTCCACGTGAGATTCGAAAGACATTCTCAGCCAATATCGGCTAAATTTTGGAGGGCCTCGTTCTGAAATTTGTGGCACGTTCCATGAGAATCAATGCTATACTCATTCCCCACTTTGAGCTGCTCATTCCATGCGTTCGGTCAACATCAGCATCCGATGGCCATCGGACCGTGGGTAAGGGGTTCTGAAGAAGGTATCCGATATAATTGTGGATGATTCAGTTCTTCTCATTCTATCGGAGTTCAATATTCATGGTCTAGACCAGGGGTGTCAGACTTAAATTTTAGGCGGGCCACGTTCGAGCGCTGCAGGTTCCCGCGGGCCACATTAGGAATTTACTTTCGTATAAAATGAGAATATATGCCTATCGTCCATGAAAGAATGCTTTCCCAGCCCCCGGGAATAGAGGGAAAACTCCTTTGTTCGGTTGTACGGAGGTATTCATTCCACCGATCTCATTCAATTCCCAAGCACTCATCCGAAACAGTCGGCTTCGAGTATGTGGGGCAAGAGTGGCGGGCCACAAGAAAAGACCTCGCGGGCCACCTGTGGCCCGAGGGCAACGGATTTGCAGCCCTTGTCTAGACTCTCGATCAAAGCGATCATGATAGCGAAAAAACGAGGGGATGGATCGACTCCATTCCAGGGCGACATACGAAGTCTGAGACCTTCAATCGGACACCCCTCGGAATTCGGGAATCAGGATACTCTCTGGTAATGGGTACGCTTAGATTCCTATTTATGGAGAATTGACTGTACTTCTATAATCTGGAGAGCGGTGTATGAAAGCGGAGCTGCTTGGAATTTCCCCGGACTAATAGAGCCGCCTTTCCCTCCCCCCTCCGCACAATCTCCGAGAACAATCTCGGAATTCGGAAGGCGACTCTAGCCCCGAGTAATACTTCTGGATCCGAGCATCGCGGAAGGGTCGCTTCTGGACTGTCGTCGCGAGAGCAGCCCTCTCAAGACCGAGTCGGAATGATGTATGCCCTCATGACAAGATCCCTGAGCCGCGAATCCTGTCCCGCGATCTCTCGATTTGAGGAGCTCCATGCTTCAGTTCTCGGCGTGCAGGTCACAATGCCACGTGCCAGAGCTGCGTGCCAGAGCTGCGTGCCTCGTCCAAGTCGAACGTGCGCTTCTTCCCCCACACTCACAGCGCAACCTCGCTGATTCGCTCCATTATTGTCAGTCCTCAATCCGATGCCACAGCTCTCCGGTTGAAACGCGACCAGGGGATATCGAACCAGGATTAGGAGCCTTTTGAGGGGCTGATTCAAGTTTTTGTGCTCAGACTCGCCGACCCCGAGAGTTTCATCATGATTACCTTGTCGAGAAAGCTGAAAATTCTTGCCGTCGGAGGCGCCGCTTGGTACCTGTCAGACAGTGATCGTCGGTCCGAACTCCTCTCAAAAGTCCTCCGACGGGACTCGTCGAATCGACAGGAGCAGGCGCAGAACCCGATTGCCGAGCGGAGACTTTCGGGAAGAGCCCACGGAGAATCCACAGGATTTACCATCGAACGCAGCGGAGTATCTGAATCGGTAGGTTTGCCGATTATTTGCTAATATGTTCTTTCCCAACAGAGAAGGTGAAGATTGAACGTCGGGTATATGAACTGATTGGAATCCTTGTCCTGGTTCCTCAGCACGACCTCCCGTCTTGGCAAAAAATCCTAGCTAGCCGGCTCGTTCTCGCGGTCCAGCAGCATAAGCCCGGACCGAGCCCTCCCGGCGGAGAAAAAGATACTCCCAAGAATGGCGTACCCGCCGCTCATGCCGAGGATGACGACGACGACGATGATGATGAGGAGGATGAAGAGGAAGAGGAGGGTGAGGAGGATGAAGAGGAGAATGACGAAGAGGGTCCCCATGAACCGAACGCACCCCCCCTGGAAGCATACGACGATGTCGATACTGATATTGATGACGACTACGACAACGTGTTCGATTTTCCGCGCTTCGAGAATAACCCGGGTGCTTCCGGACCGCCTGTAGACCGCCCACCGGGCACCGGCATATCGCCGAAGAGAGAAAGCTCGAGTGATGAACTATCATCTCTCGACGATGAATCCCAGGGCCGCGCCGCTAAAGCTGGTGACGCCGAAGCGGCGGGGCCAAGCGACACTTCGGCTTCCCCACCCGCTCGTCGAGTTAGTTTCAAGGATCCCGCTCCGGAACAAACTGTACCGGCCCATCTACGTCGGCCCTTGCTTGTCGGGGGGCATGCAGGAGCAGGCAGCTCTAGCGAACCACAACGGAGTCCGGAAAGCAAGGGCAAGGAGTCGACTAGTAAGGTTGAGAAAGAAGAAGAGTAAATTTAGAAAAAACTTCCGATGAAACTTTTGTGGATGCGGCACGGCAAACCGAGGCGATGTCGGCCGAGACTGTCGAGGAGGCTGCTCGTGTGAAATGATGATTTAAGCTTAAAAAAATGACGCACATTGAATGCGATCCATATTTGATGTATTCAGACAGGTTTATAGATGATGAATTTTCGATTGAAATGAAAGAAATGCTCGGATGAGCAAAATTTGACGCAACTCCGAGAGACACCAAACGACTCCATTATGAATTGAGCATTAATAAATCTCTAGATGCTAACAAACAAAACCTCGATTGTAGCCCTGATTTCTTCCCGGTGCTCAAGCGATCCCGTGTGACGAAGGAAGAGTGAGACGGGCGAATAGAAAAACGAGAGAGTTCGTTTATTATACCGAAAAGCGGTGATGTCCTTTTCCTTCTTTTTACAAAATCGAACTCTCTGATGATCTGATGACTCATCATTCATCAGTGTCCATTACTTAAATGTACGGAATGTCCTGCAGATCTCTGACCTATGACTTCAACGTTGAAGCCGATCTGGCGCAGGTGCTTATCGTCCAGTATACGTCGACCGTCAAATATGAAAGGGGGTTTCAGCATCTCAGAGTAAATTTTCTCGTAGTCGAGATCTCGGAATAAGTCCCACTCGGTACACAAAGCGATTGCGTGCGTCTGCTTCGCAGCTTCGTAAGGACATGACAGGATCTCGACTTGCCGCAGGAGCGCTGAAATAAGACAAAGGATGAATTCGTCAGTTCAGATTCAGCCTTGATGGTCCCTCGATTTCAAGATCGCCCACTCACATGTGCTCGGAGCCGAGAAATCATCGCTGAGATCTAGGAGAATTTGCTCTTTTTTCACTTTAGGATCAAAAATTTTCAGGTGAGCTCCTTCTTCAATCAATTGTTTGCAGATGTGAATGGCAGCGCTCTCTCGAGTGTCAGCTGTGTTTTTCTTGAATGCAAAACCGAATATGGCGATTTTCTTCCCGGCAACCGTATTGAACATGCCCTGCGTTATCCTCCTGGCGAAGCGCGTTCTTTGGAAATCGTTTATCTCGATCACCTGTAGGAGGTTCGCAATCAGATTCCGAGAAATATGTACGGACCTCGGGAGCGAGTGTTTATTTCTCGTAGCTAGAAGACGACAACTGACCTGGTACCAATAGTTCGCGACTTCGGGGAGATTCAACGACTCACTGATGTAGACAAGGTTCAGAACATCTTTTTGGAAACAGCTTCCACCAAAACCGACCGACGCCTGCAGGAATTTCGAACCTATCCGCGAATCAGAACCGATCGCGTGGGAAACTTCTTGCACATCGGCGCCAGTGGCTTCACAAATAGCGCTCATGGCGTTGATCGAGCTGATTCTGCATAGGAGAGAAACGATTGGAGGACTTCGATCGACGAGTATGGAGTACTGATTGATCGATTTGAGCAGTCTTTCCGGGGAAGTTCCTCCGAGCGATTGATATGAATATCGTCATGATTCAATCGCTATAGAGGGACAATGTCTTTACCTCTGGGCAAGGAATGCATTGGCCGCGAGCTTGGAGAGCTCCGAGGACCACGTATTCATGGTGATGATCTTCTCTCTCGGTACCCAATTCTCATACACTCGACAGAGGCTCTCGATCGCGGACAGACCCTCCGGACTCTGTTCCCCTCCAATGAGGATACGATCCGGTCGGAAGAGATCGGACACTGCCGTTCCCTCAGCCAAGAATTCCGGGTTGGAGAGAACTTGGAACTTCGCCTCTATAACGAAAGTTCAGATGATAACCTCTCATATCCCTCACAGATCTCCAAGATGCCGCGCATCTCCAGAGCACCATCGAAAAGCTCACCGTGTTTGATGTTGGCCCTAAGGATCTTTGTAATACTTTCAGCCGCTGAGACGGGCACCGTAGATTTTTCCACGACAATTTTGTAAGTTCGTGCATGTTCTGCTATCGATCGTGCCGCGCTCTCGACGAATCGCAAATCAGCAGCTCTGCCCTGAAATGGAGGGAGAAGGCTGTCAGACGAATCGATCAGTGATCAACAAGGTTCTATGGTTTTCTTCGCTCGATGGCTGAAGTCAAAAACGAAAACTTCAGTAGTCTCCCTACTTTTCCGAAGCCGTAAGTCTTTGTTGGGGTGTTCACCGAGATGAATATGAGATCAGCCTCTTGGATGGACTTCGCGAGATCAGTGGTGAAGAACAGATTCCGTCCCCTACATTTCGTCACAATTTCATCCAAATCCGGCTCATATATGGGTAATTTGTCAGAATTCCATCGGGCTATTCGTTCCTCATCCGGATCAGCGACGGTAACTACGATATGTGGACACTTCAAGGCCAACACGGAACAAGTCGGACCTCCGACATATCCAGCTCCTAAACAGCATAGTCGTTTCACGTCGATGGGCTGGGTTCTGTGGAAGAGGCACCTCATCATCAAAGGAAAGAGCGGAGGTTCATCATAACGGAAAAGGAGGAGAATAACTTACGTTGCGCTATATTCGTTCTCGTTAGATATGTTACCCATACTTGGAGCGCTGCAAAGCACAATGAGAAACTTTCAGTAAGTGACAGCTCACGTGCTGACTCTGCGTCTCGCTCTCAAGCGAGTGCCCTCAGTCGCTGGCGGAAGCGTCGACGTCTGACTTCAAGCAGCTTTATGTTTGATCGACGTTCAAGATTTCGGGACTTGGAGAAAACGAGCTTCGGAGCAAGAGCCTCATGTAAAATTGGAATGAAACTAAACCTCGTGGATTCGTTTGAATCAATCACTCGTCGGAGGAGCCTTTTGCCGTCTTTCGATCCGACTTGAGGTTCGGTAGGACAGAAACTCAAATCGAATCTAGAACTTGTCGAAGAAAAGGAAAGTAGGGGATTCGGAGCACGGTACGGTCCGATTACCACGGGGGCTGGCCGTTCGCGAGATGGCGACCGCCGAGAAACTCTCTGGGAAGCGAGCAATGGAGCAGGACTGGCTGCTAATATTCCAATCAGGCCTCGAATGAGAAAAACTAAAGAGTGATGAAAGTGGATTCCGGTCTGAATGAACGAGGAGACAATGTCGGATAGAGCCTACGGATGGCCCTGCCCAGATCCGGATTTCTTCGGCAAGAGGAGGGAAACTGCTCTTTTAGCCGATGTGGGCCGCGGAAAGCAAATGATTCCTTTACACTCTGAGCGCCTCACGATAGGGACCGGATGCTTCGGAAAGGTTATACCCGTTATCAGAGGAAGCGTGAGGCCCAGTACCAAAGCTTCCGTCGAGTTCAGAAATACTGTCAGGCGGGAGTTCGATTTATTGCTCGGGAATCGCACAGAAGTTCCGCGGCTCGTAATCAGAGGTGAGAAAAGGATCCATCATTCCACATCCGAAACGATTCGATACACCTATGGAACGCCTCTGATGCCTCGAGAAAGGTCGCAAAAAATGCTCAAAAACTCCCTATCCTCGAGCCGATACCTCATCCCAGGAGTAAAGCAGGGCCTCTTAGCCATGTGTTCTCCGAACAAGTGGTCAGAAGCCGTTCTCCTCGATCTGATCGAATGTGGAATTCCAATGGAATTCCAGTCTGCTGGCCAAGCATATTCAAACTCGGTTGATTGAATCGGAGCACACTCTCCGCGCAAATCACTCTCTCACTCAGACGGGGCAGAACAGAGGGATCATTCCTTAACGGTTCACGGGAAGACTACAATTGTGCAGACCCAAACTAATCCGAAACGAAACCAATCCACAACATGATCTCCATACGGAACCAATGAATTCCAGAATCTATCGATAAGTTGATCGAGCAGTATGGCGATCCGGGCGGCCCGCTCATTCAGTTTGAAATCGCGATTTGGAGCCTGGTCGAGGATAGGTACAGCCGAGTCTGTCACGTCACGGGGAGCTCATGTGAGCGGAACTCCCCTCGAGCTCAGCGACCTGAGCGCATGCCGGCGTTCAGTGAACGAATCCATTGCATCGTTCGTGCACTCAGCCGGTGCGTTTCCATGCACCTGTACAGAGGAAGAGTTTCCATCCGGCGGCATTTTCAAGCCTAGATATAGAGGGGCGAGATACGGAGTGGGCTCAGGACATCACTTGTTTGATTCTGCGATCAAGCCGAAACCACGGAACGAGCAGCCAACAGTTCTACCACAAGCTATCAGAAGCCACTAGGGAGCCGGAGGCCCTCCCTGGAGTCGAGAGACGGAGCTCCGTTCCATTTCCGTAATTCTAAATTCCTAACCTGTGTTTGACGCGTGGGGTAATGGCCAGAATCGGCGCTCGGAGGCTCTGTGAGTGCACAAACCTACATCTGACAGCGTCAATCAGCGGCAGTGGAGCAAGGCACTAATCCGGTGGTTTACCCAGTCCGGTCAGACCTTCGCAGTGAAATACTCACGATCGCCAATCCTTGCACCGGAGAATGATCCAGTGCGCCCTCTCCCCATAATGATGACGTGATCTCTGGCACCTCCTCTCAGGACGTCTGACTGATGCTGCCGTCGGAACACCCCCGCCCGATAGCCATGCGACCGAGTGCTAGAGTTCGGCGAGGACCAAGTTTTCAAAAGACTGAGGCACGGATCGATCGGCATCTTCCCCGACAGAGATTCCGTCTGCTCAACGCGCTCTATCGGATTCCGAGTTTCTCCTGAGAAACCGGGCGATCACGGAGACTCGTTCGACCGGAGGGAGATTTGATCGCCCACAATGGCCTTTACAGTCTTATCCTGATAATTCGGGGCGTCCGTGAGCCTGTGAAGAGCTCGAGCTCGATGCGTTCTCAATTAAAGGTCCCGATTGTTCTCGGGGCGATACTTTCGCCAGTCGGCGTCAATTCCACTCTGGCCGAGTACGCAGGTGTGTCCAGAGATGAATCCTGGATGCATCACTCATTGGGGGAAATCATTTATTATAATCATGTGTCATCATCACCTCCGTCCTCGTCCACTAGGTACTGATCACAAAAATACATAAGGTACACGGAGTTCCGAGCTGCATTGTAAGCTTCACAGTCGAAACGCGACAAGACGCTCCACAAGGTTTCTCGCAGATCCAATAGACGTCTACAATGGCGAGCGAGCAACATACATCAGTTTGGAACTCATGCAGCCATCAATGCATAATTACAAAACTGGCGATTCTTTGCTTTGAGATCAATGCCGCGTGCGCTCCTCGTATGAGCCTTTCCTATGTCTTCCGACGATCCGAATTCGACACCTGGTTTTGAGCCGTAGCCGTGATCACGACGATGAGATCGAAACAGAGGGCAAATTCTGAGCGAGTTGATACCAAACGCCGGCTGGAGAATCACTCTGTTCGTTGTCGGTTTCGGCTCCGCTCTCGTCCTTCGGAATTTCGGTCGACTGACACAAATTGAATATTGTCCGGCATTTTGCGCGGCTCGGGGGCAAGGTCGGTCGTATCTCGAAGCCCTCGATCGACGTCGCCTCCGAGGAGCACTGAGAGACGACTTTCACGAACAGAAAGCACTTCGCCGAGCGAGGGCCGTTCGTCGGCGCGAGGATGTCGTCGACAGAAGCGACAGCTCGAAATAAGTTGAGTTTGGAAAGTTTCAGAGCGTCCTGATGGCGATTCGTGTTGTCATTCCATCGGGCGGCTTGCAATCTGATGTGCGTTACGTATTGGGCCAGCGAAATTGTCGAGCCCTGCACCAGGACGACCTGCAAGATGGCATAATGATGCTTTATCATCTGTCCCTTTCCTGCATCGATATCTCTTATCGGTCGAAGTACATTCTGTATGCCGCTTTCGGGCGGTCACACGATCGTTTTCTCGCAATCAGACTCACCTCAGCCAAGGTTCCGGAGGAGGCGAGTCGCTCGATCGATTCCAGGACTTTCTCTAGACGCTCGAATTGAGCTCTGTTCCGCGGGGTCAATTTTTCTCTCAAGATGTCCAGACGCCTGCAAGTCACTGAGCTTAATGTCGGGAATTTTCGCGAGCGCAGAAGCAGGGTATCCCTATCCGAGGTGGAGCCGCACCGGAAGTCTATTTCCTGCCGGAGGATATTCTAGAGAGGCGGAGTCGTTCTTCACCTGACAGGTTGCTCGATGTGTGACGTCCTGTATAGAAGATCTTCGAGAAGACTTGTGACAGCACGGCCGAATTCATCAAAACACAGCCCATCGTCCAATTTCACAACCAGTTCGCGAGGTTCCGGCGGGAGCTGTGTTTTCTGTGGTTGCCGTTTCTTCTGGGCTTCGATTAGTCCGAACATGGTTCCGAGGTATCGTCCGAGATTCGAACGTTGTGAGAATCACTTGCTTAGGATCGGAGAACGAAGGGTCGGAACAAACAATATTCTCTCGACGACTTTGTTCGAGACTAACGGAACTTCAATTGTTTCGTTGCGCCGCTACTCTCGCCCGCTCCTCGCACCCGCGACGAGAGTAACAACAGAGGATTTGTCGTTGTTCCCGCTCGGTAGGCTCGAGCTCAGATGCAGAACATACACGAGTGGTGAAAAAGCCCGCCTTCAGCCTTCTTTCGTTCGAAACACCACCCGATCGGACATGACAGTAGCCGTGAGCGCGGGACTTCCCAAAAAACTCGGTATGCCTCCGGCGGGTCGAGCGAGGGGAACGTCGAACGTGACAGATATCCGAACAGAAGACCTCGGAGATCTACTGCTCATCTCTGTTACCGGACAAGCGCCGGAGAGCCGCAAACGACACGGATGATTCATTGTCAGGTGGAACTTCTTGGTTCTTTTGTGATACACGGACGTCCTCCTCGCGGCTGCCTAGATCGAGAGTCGTGTGGTACGGAATCGGAAGGTGGTGGCGAGAACTGCTGGTGATGGTGGCTTCGAGGAGGAAAAAGAAGGAGGAGGAGGCGTGTCGCAAACTCACCAGCAGTTGATTCAAGACATAGAAGCAGTTGGAGTAGTCTAGACGAATCAGTCCGTGTTTTCGACTCATCGCCACCAGTGGTTCCTCAGTAACGCTTCGCGAAGCTCGACGTAGGCGGAAGATGTCGATCAAAAGTCCAACAGTCAACAAGAATCCGTTCTACGACCCAGACGACGATGATGTTGACGACGACACTTTCGTCAATTACAGAGCCAGGGTATGTTCGATTCTTCCCTAGATTTGCCAACCGTATCAGTTTTCTGGGCCCGACTCCAAGTCGCTTGCGAATCGGTATTGAACTACAATCGTGCTTTGTACCGCGATACACTCGATCTTACGCTTCCTACGATCGCTGCTCCCTCGATCCTCGGCCGCATGACAAGTCAACTTCTTATTCGATTCATTCATTGGCGAAGCTCACTCGTCGGGAAATAGAAGACGAGCGTCGACACTGCAGGATTGTGGTGGACTTCCGAAATTCCCAGCTCTGTCTCGGGTGCTAGTTTCAGGACGGCCTGAAAAATCCTCGACTTCCACGTCGATTCGGATTCGAGCCTCCCTCGACCTTGCAATCTAGGGAGGGAATGGAATCCTCCGCTTCCGTCCGATATTCTATCGCCGTATCTTCGAGCAAAAATGGCAAAGTCATAAATATTCCGTGCGGCGAGTTTAACTTGGTGCGGGGGGTCGATCCCAGCGTAGAGCAAAGTTATACAGGACGGGTATTTCCCATCTTGTGTCATCCGTCATCCCTCCATGATTCTGTGATCGTCACAGAGCTGGAGGCATATGCCGTTCACGTAGCGGCGCTCTCTCATTGTTTTCTCCTGAAGTTCGCTTGCAAGTGTCCCGCATATGAGTCACCCTTGCATGTTCGGCGGATTGTGAATTTTCATGCGAACAACCGAGTCCACGAGCGATAACGGATGTCGGTCGACGGCCGATGACCTCTCCTAGCGAGCGTTTCGCAGATCTAATAAATCGCATGGCTGAAGTTCTGGAAAATCTCAATATGATCCCGTTGCGCTCTATCATCTTGGACCCCGCGAAGTCCTCGATCCTTTCTCCGAACATCTTCATCAGTGATACGAAATCTGAGGCGGCCCGGGAGGCTCTAACTGGAGCTGTATGCGAGACAATCGGGAGGATCAATGATAATTTACTCGACAAGCGGCACGGCGCGAACCGCAGAAATTCTGATCTCGTCGCGTCGATCCACCGATTTCTATTCTTGTGTTGGCCTGTTGTCAAGCATCATTCGATCTTTGTTTCCAGGCCTATGATAATGCAGAGCACCGAATGTACGAAGAGAAGCGCCAGCAGCTCCTCGAGGAGCGTCGGGAAGTCGAGGATCGGATGCTCCAGAGCTCGAGCTCCGCCGTTCGAGCGCTCTATGAAACAGAGCAGGTGAGTGCTGACAGTTCTGAGATTGTTCCCAGGAGCCATGGTTGAGGCTCACTCCCCCTAGATTTCGAGCAGAAATTTTGGGAAGCATGACCTCGAAACTGATGTGCAACAAAAATTTCAGATCGGAATCGAAACAGCTGATGAGTTAGTTCGCCAGGGTGAGCAACTCAAGAAAGTCGATCGGAATCTCGATGACATACACAACGTGACCAAGACAACTCAGAAGCACCTGACGGCTATGAAGAGCGTCTTCAGTGGTTTCAAAAACTACTTTGGCAGGTCGAACAACACAGAGAATTCGACTAGCCAAATGAAGTCTTCGACGCCCGAGGAGCAGCCGTCTAGTGCTCTCGCCGCAGCTGCAAAGAAGGTTTGTATAGAGCGACGATCCCGATGCGTCAATCGGAACAAATTCCCGCCCTGGGAGTGGATTTGGATCTCTTCTGTATCCCATTAGTTGAGCCTACATCAAGTCCACATCTTCGCTCAATTATCGAGTTATTGAATCGATGCTTCACAGGTGAGAGGTGACGCTGAAAGCGCTAGACAGAAGAATCATCCGGCTCTCAGGAGTCGTTTCGATACCTCCGGTTTCGGGGCAGCGGATGACGACGATGATGCCGCCGTGGGGAACGACAAAGCTTACAAAAATCGACCCATGACTCGATCTGAAATGGTCGAGCATAAGTTGAACAAGGATCTCACTGAACTCAGCTCCGGGATGAGTCGCCTGAAAACGTTGGCCCAAGGTCTGAGCTCCGAGCTGGACGAACAATGCGACCTGATAAGTACTATTGATAACAAAGTTGACACGGCCGACGTCATAATCAGCTCCCAAACGAAGCAAATGAACCGACTGCTTAAGAAATAGGTCGCCATTCCGAAAATGAATCTGTCCGCGAATCCTCCCCTGTAAGATTTACATTGTTTGTTAGAACCTCTTCAGTGCTGTTCATTTTACTTAGGGCACTTTGAAAGAGAAATCGTTTTTTCCGTTTTACTTGATATCTCCTCATGATATCGAAGGTTGTTGATACAGCGCAATGCGTGTTGGTGTACATACGGATACCCATTGAAATCTATCGTTGAAGTACGAATCGACGAAAGCATGAAACATGATTATTATAGCTGAGAATAAATGAAGAATACTAAGGAACGAAGATAAGGGGAGACTCCTGGCTCTTCCGTGGGACGCACTCGGAGGTATTCTTTATGAGTTCACGAGAGCTACATCGGATTGAAATCTTGGCTGGAAGCGGTGCGGTCGATAGATATTTCATGGACAACTCAGTCGGGTGATTAGAGTATCGGCCAGGGAATTTGGCAAAAATGAAATCCGCCTAGGGAATCTCATTAATCGCGAGCTTTCGGGGAACCCGAGTAAGTGGAGAGGGGCCCGGAATCGACCGCGAGACGAATAACTAATGTGTGGACTTATCTGGATTTATTCCGCGCTCCCATCACGCTATCTACCTCCTTTGGGATTCCATCGAAGAAGGATTCCGAAATCGAAGCAAGATTCCTCCTCATCTCGCTCGAACCTATGTTGTCTACGATGCGGTTGCGTGAAATCGCTGCTGGTCTCATATTCGTGAGTCATTTCGGGAAAGGAAATTCCTGTTTTCCTGTCACCGCTTGGGATATTGATTCTAGAAGCGCCTTCTCGCATGTAGGAAGATGCCGCGAGAAATCAAGCTCATACTCCGGATGACGCTGCTCAGGCAAAGAGGTGTTTATCGATCGGCACTCCCTGGGAACTCCTCCGGTTCTGCATCGAGCTCGCCCCCTTAGGTGATGCCGAGAAGGCCGAAGCGAATTCAAATCATCGATAAGTAGGCTCAGTGTTGTAAGAAACCGAATATCGTAGGTGAACGGAATCGTCACATTCTCTTGTCACGTCGGCGCCGTCGCCGAAGAGAGTTTCATCTGCCACAAAATACATCATTCGCTTGCCAGCCTCGGTCAGTGAACACAGCGAAGATTTTCAAGCTCTCGCTACGAGTGACATGTCACATAGATCGCTTCGGTGTCCTCACACCAAGTTCAAAATCTGATCGAAGAGAATTGTGTCCTCCCTCCGCAAATCGGCATCATTGAATCCACGCAGCCGACGGAATCTATCTCCTGTGTTCCCCAATCCCGACATCCGCCTTCCTTCTCCCAGCCCGTGAACTGAGGTTAAAAACGGAAATCGACCATCGAGATGTGCTTGCCAAGCGGAAGTAGCCGTACCAATCAATCGACCTGTTTTGTGCTATGTGTGTGTCTGATCCAAAACTGTCTGTTCACCCAGTGGACGTTCCTGTTCATCTCGCAATCTCGTCCAAGAAAATCAGCTCAGCTCGGAATTTCTACCAGGGCTGTTCCCTCGTCGCTCGGTCGGAGTCTTCTCGGAAGTTTCATTCGCTCCCGCCCTCTCAATTGTCGAGCTACTAGTTTTTGAGGCTAGATCCGCGTCGGAAATCACAACTCCTTGATTCTATCGAACATATTACCCCTGATCCTATATTTTCGAGCGGCCGGCATACGTAGGACCCCACAGGGTGACGCGGTCCTAACCGCAAGGGGAAGCCGGGCTATTCATGGCGGAGAATGCTCACGAGAACACAAGGAGCCTCGCTTTTGTCGAGCGAACGCGTCATCTTACGCTGAGGTCGCTTTTCTTTCCCTGGAACGGGAGAGGCGGCATCTTTAATACGTTGCGTTGATGAGATTTCCGTCAGAAAGGATTCGATCCTCGCAAGGGGCGGAACTCGCAGGTCTTTGTCTGAATACTCCACGGCACTTCAGCGCTCCGGATTGAGAAATACTTTGACTGGTGTGCGGAGATCTCGGAGTCTCTGTGAGTTCCAGCCCGAAAATTCTCACCTAACCAATCAAGCGTCAGTTTCATGGCTCAGAAACTGATTCTGTTACTGAGCGAGTCCCATGACTTCTACCCGGATAACAGAGTATACTCCGATCGATGGGCGAATTGCACTCCACTGGAGCTAGAGGCCGTGGCAAGATGTCCGTGACCGGGGGTTCCTAGTTGCAGCCACCCATGTTTGAGTAATGACGCGATCGATTCCGCTCGCACCTTGAGTTCTCAGACGGAGCCGTCCGAGTGGAGTCTGGAGCATGGGCTGGCCATTCAGAGAGCGCCCGCTGTCCAACGAAGATTTCGCGAAGAGCTTCCGCTCTCTCGTAATGGGACGAGGAGAATTTAATTGTGAGAGCCTTCGACTCCCTACCCTGTCGTGGAATTCACTTTTCGATATTCGCAGTGACGAAGTCTATGGCCCGAGCGCGGGACCGCGGTTAGTCCCGTATCCGGCACCATCCGGGCAAAATTCCGCGACACGTTCGACTTTCGATCGGAGAGCATGGCGTCTCGGCTTGTCGAAAATGGCTCCCGAGCTGTGTCTTGATCATGACCGGTCGGCTATGATGATCCGCCAGAAATGCCAACACGGAGCAGTACAGAAAGAAGTTCATCAGGAGTTGCTAAACGATGCTCTGCAGGATCATCTCTCGTCTCTCGGCACCTCGAACCCGATCGATATTCGGTGACTGCTCTGAACTCTCACGCCTTGGAGCCGGTAGAGTTTGGTTCAGCCTCACCGTCAGACCGTTCATTTTCGCACGGCCGGTGAAGCTACGGCAAAATAGTCCCGCAGCGACTCGCTGGATTAATTTTTACAGCGCACGTCACGACCGCGAACATAGCTCCGCTATCACGAGACTCCGGAAGGGAAGGCAGACCAGAATACGGGGGCATTGCGCACAACTGAGAACCATACTATTTCAGGCTCCCTGAACTTTTTGTTAGTCTCCCGTCTAGGAGCTAGTCAAAGGGGAGAAGCTTGTTCTTCTTGCCTCCTATCCATCTATCCAACGGCTGCCTGGCGTCGGTTTCGACTAATTCATTCGATTTTCACGACGGAGTTCCACGATGCGATATTACGCGTTCTAGAAGAGGAGATCTCTCGATAGCGCAGACACGACGAGTCTGCGGAATGGGTTGCCGACAGTGTTGTTGTCTCTGGCGGCAGAGGCGCGTCAGTAATTTACTCATTGAAGACTTTCGGTGGCGAATTTTCTGTTTCAAAATGATAAGTGCATGATTCGACCCATGATGTCATGCAGACCGCTCCCTGTTGCTGCGTCCAAACGAGCATAGCTCCGAGCGACTTCCAAACCCACTTCAAGCGTGTCTTCTACCCCAGAGTTTCCTCTCGAGTCGACTGTCCACTCAATATCACCCAGGAAAAGGCGTGCACGATAAGGAAAGGGATATAAAGTCAGTGGAGGCATTTCCCGTTCCTCCACACGATGATGCCGATTGGCCCTTCATTTGTACTTGTGAACTGCATCAGATGCCCTTTAGAGCGAGCGCAAGCACCTGTTCAAACTCCGGTCTCTCCAGCAGAGATATTGACATTTCTCAAGCTCGCAGGCCAAGGGCATCGGTGAAAGCCGCACCTATTCAAGAGTTCGGCGTTCAGCTCCGAACCGAGCGCTTTCATTCAGAATTGGTCAAGGCTACTGCGAATTGGTTTGCTGAAGAGATCGTAATTCAATGGATGGGATCGGGAATCCCTCTTGTTCGAATATCATCTGCCACGGCGGCTGACGTAGAGGCTCTCTCCGGGGGTCTGGATCGCCGTCGTCTTCGTCTGTACGTGAGATATAGCGAAGTCCATGTCCTCCGACCTACGAGAAAACCAACCCGGGGGCCGAAGCGGCTAATCTCCGTCTAGTCGCAGATTCAATCAGGAGGATTCCGAGCGAGCGCCTAATCCACCTGGGGACCCCGGCACGAGTCAGCGGCTGCAGTCATTGGCTGATCTTGGGAGAATCGAGAAGAACTGAGAGGGTCTTCTGCATTCAAGAGATCATGGTCATCACATTCGGAAGTTACTGCCGAACCAATGAAATGGTAAGGTGGGGGCTAGGAATGACGGGTCTTCTCAATCGGAAATATTTTCAGTCTTAATTTCATGAAGCAGCCTACAGAAATAGTCAATGCGAAATTTTAATGTGCGATTTAGCCTTCGGCCCTTCAGAATTCAGTTGTGACCGTGAGCTCGTTTCCTGATTTTTCGCATGTTTTACACGGGAAGGAATCCGATGTAGAAGACGATTCTTCCCTCTCAGCTCCCTGGTTCTCCTCGGCATTCCGTCTTTCTCCGAGATCGTTGTTCATATTTCCCCCATCGAGCCTACCTAGTGGCATCGAGAAAGAATTATTATCGAGACAATCTACTGACGGTTTCGAATCGTACCATCGTACGCTCATACGTACACTCATGCAGTCCCAAACCCTTGGTGTGGTGATTTCCAATTGATGAGTCAGCGGTGAGCTCCTCGATTTTCTGAAAAAGTTTCCCTTGCCGGTTTTTTCCAAGGCCCCCTCTCCTCCCGCCGAAAAGAGCGCGCACCTGCTAGATCCATGGCGACATTTCTGCTCCACTCATTTGTTACGAGTCTTCCTGTTTGAGTTGACGATGATGCCGAGATTTACCGTTGGAAGTTGAAGAATCTCCGTGGATTCTCGTGTTCATCGAGAGTTCGGTCGGAGTGCGGTGTGACTCCACGAATCTTCAAGCAGCCTGAAATTAGAGGAAGAGATTAATCCAGTGCAGGAGTGACAAGCATCCACAGCTCATCATGATAGGGGTGAGTTCGGGGGAAAAATTGATTCAGACGGGCAGATGAGAGAGCCTTGACCCAGAATTCGACCCCGCACTGCCAATCGGATACCTAGTTGGATCAGATGCAGTTTCTGATAGATTCGAGAAGGTCCTCATCGGAGCGGCTTTACCGTCTAAACACCTGTTACCGCTCTATCAGAGATCTCATTAAGATAATTGGATTCTTCGCTTAACGAAGCGGAGGAGGAGACAGCGAAAGAGGACCGAGAAGCCGCGCACGACGAAATCTTATTTATTGTCCAATATTATAATCGAGCCCAGACGCGAAAGTTGAACTTACCCGACGTTAGCCGCCGACATCGAATGCTTTCGTTTGCGCAAAGCGGCGAAGTCATACCTTCCGGTGCTATCAAAGGAGAATAGCTCGAAGCTCCGTTCGCCTGGCGACTGAGAATGTCAAACGGGAATTCTCAGTGAAATGGAGAAAAACGGTGCGCCCGGATAAGCGCCGAATCGAATTGCTGATAAC